TGACCAGGAAGCTCCAGAGAAAACAGGAAACAAGGATTTACTGGTCAAGAAAAGTGGATTCCTTGATCAAGGATCGATGATTTAAAAAAAGTTTTCAAGGACTTCCTGGCCATAAATTCCATAAAAAATATTTACACAAATACGTAATATATGGCCATGAAGTCCTTGGAAACTTTTTTTTTTAAATCATCGAACTTGACCTACCTGCAGACAAAAAAGAGATCTGGGCAAAATTTTAGCTTTCTATCTTAATTCGTTTAGCCTGTAGCGTGATTGCAACAGACGGACGGACATGGCTAGAATTTTACGCTGATCAAGAATATATATACTTTTTTGGGTATAAAATGATTATTTCGATGAGTTACGGCGTTTGACTTTGTTGCAGTTTTTTCATCTCACCCTGTAATTTGACAAAAAAATTGTTTTTCAAACATCTTATGTATGTTATGGTTGGTGGTTGTGTCGAATGGCTTGATTAGAGCATTTCTTTTATAATGTTAAGGGTTTTCCAAAAAGATGAGTTATTTATAACTGCTCGGTGAATTTCTTGAAACTGGAAAATGTCCCTTAATTAAAACCAAATCAATTTTGGGTTGTAGTGTAATTAAAAACAAAATTGATTGAATTTGTTATCCTGAAGTGGGCGTCCACAAACACCAATACACAGTATTTTGCACAAATACTTCGGTCTTATGCCATGTTTACGTTAGAACTTTTTGTAGGGTTAACCTACTTTGAGAGGATTTATTTGAAGTAAAAGTAATGGATATGACAATTTAAATCCCAATCCAGTGGGTTAACCCTAATATATATAAACGTACTGTTAGGGCTTTTAAAGTTCAGTTAGCACAATAACTCATGTCGACCGATAATCAAGAACGTCGAGTCTTTGCAGTTCGGGTATTTAAATGCATGGTGAGGCCCTATTCACATCAGTGGTTATGTCGAGATGCAAAATGGTAGCATGTGCGATCGAGGAACCCAGAAAATTTCGTTGAGAAGTCCCTCCATGGTGCTGTTTATTGTCAGGCCTTGATATATCAGTGATGTTAATGTTTTTTTGCGTCCCACACCACTGTTTGTTATTCTCCTTTTATCCCGTATGTTCGACAGTTGTACTAAATTAACATTCAACATTGACATTTTATATTTTAACGTACGCCACACCATGCCACCATCTACGACGAGTCCATGTGTCATCTAGTGTGTGGTAGTAGTTTTCCCGTTTCCGTTTTAGCGTTTAACGGCCACATAATAGAAAACGCTTTTGCCGCTTGGTTATCTTTGTTGTCGTAAAAGTTTGTGGGCACTGGCATGAGGGTGGCGGAACCCAAAAAAGGACAGAAGACAACTGGGCCATTTGTGAAACCACATGAGTCCATTTAGTGAATTCCCATAGTTAAGACAAACGACAAAAAAGCGAAAGGATCGAAGGGAAGAGTGGAATGGAATGTGTTCATTTTTTTCTTAGTTCGGGCAATTAAAATTCTATTTTGCCACTCATTTTAGTTGTAATTTTTTTCTGGTGGGGGGAGAGGGGCGAATTTGTGTAACAACCAAGCTACAGTTCCATTAAATGTTGTATGTTGCAACAATGTTTCGTTCTGTCCACATATGATACAAATTTTGTTTTATTGACCTAACCACCATTAGTGTTGCCAAAATGGCAGAGATAATTTTAATTATTTTGAAATGTGGACGGCTGAATGTTTTTTTATTTTGAATATCCTTACCAAATTAATATACAAACATAGCATGAACTAAAATCGTACATTTTTGGATAATGTTGGATTTTTCAAGGAATTCCAGCCAAGATTCGAGGATTTCTAAACCTAATTTTCATGGGCTTTCAGTTGTAGAAACTTAGATTTTTTAAAAATATTTTTCAAGATCATCTGGATAAGTGCATCGTGATTTTTAAGGAATTTTTCATAGATAATATTTTTGAATGACCTATTGAGAACATACTAGCTAAAATCGTTATTGTTTTAAAATATTTTCAGAGAGTTCTGGATAAAAAATCGAGGATATGTCCAGGAGTCATAAATTAAAAAAAAATATTTTTTTAATGTCTTCCTGACTAAGAATATTGAATTTTAATCAGATAAAACAGAAAATAAGGATTTACTGGTCAAGAAAAGTGGAGTCCTTGATCAAGGATCGATGATTAAAAAAAAAGGTTTCCAAGGACTTCCTCGCCATAAATTACATATTTTTATAAATATTTTTTATGTGATTTATGGTCAGGAAGTCCTTTTCCTTCCTTTTTTTTAAATCATCGATCTTGATCAAGGAATCCACTTTTCTTGACCAGTTATCCTTGTTTCTTATTTTCTCTGGGGCTTCTTTGTCATTAACTGTGGTTTTTTTGGAAATTTTTTTATCGGTGCTTCCTCGTCAACGATTTTTGGGATCTTTAAATTAAAAATATTTTTTCAAGGGCAACTATTTTGGATTTTTTAGAAATATTTTTTCAAGAGCCGTGGATTTTTTGAAATTTATTTTCATGGCTTCCTGGTCAACAGTTGTGGATTTTTAGAAATATTGTTTAAGGAACTTCGGGTCAACGATTTTTAGATTTTTATGAATTATTTTCAAGAACTTCCTGGATAACAAGTATGTTTTTTAGAAATATTTGTGGATTTTTTTCAGGGCTTCCTGGTCAACAATTGTGGATTTTTAGAAATATTATTCTTCTGGTCAACGATTTTTAGATTGTTATGATTGTTTTCAAGGACTTCTTGGATAACAAGCATAGATTTGTGTATTATTAAGAAATATTTTTTAAGGATTTCCGGGACAACAGTCATAGATTTTCTAGAAATATTTTTTCAAGGGCTTCTTGACCTACAACTGTGGATTTATTGAGAAATGTTTGTTCAAGGACTTCCTGGTTTATAACCATGTTTTTCTTCAAAAATATTTGTTTAACGGCTTACCGTTTAAAAACCCAAATATTTTAAACATATTTATTCAAGGACTTCCTTGAAAACTATTGTGAATTATTTAGAAATATTTTAAATAGCCGTGGATTTTTTGAAATATTTTTTTCAGGGCTTCCTAGTCTACAATGTTGGATTTTTAGAAATATTATTTATGGACCTTCTGGTCAACGATTTTATTTATTGTTATGAATATTTTCAAAGGACTTCCTGGACTTGTTCAAGGGATTACTGTTCAAAAAACCTGAATATTTCAAATATATTTTTTCAAGGACTTCCTTGACAACTATTGTTGATTATTTAGAAACATTTTCAATGGCCGTGGATTTTTTAAATATTTTTTCAGGGCTTCCTGGTCAACAATTGTGAATTTTTAGAAATATAATTCATAAACCTTCTGGTCAACGATTTTTAGATTTTTATGATTTTTTTCAAAGACTTTGTGGATAACAATCATAGATTGTTACATATTTCTATGTTTTCAAGGATTTTTTGAAAAATGTTTGTTCAAAGATTTCCTAAACAACAAGCATTTTTTTAGAAATATTTTTTTCAAGGGCTTCCTTGACAACTATTGTAGATTATTTGGAAATATTCTCTATAGCCGTGGATATTTTGAAATATTTTTTTAGGGCTTCCTGGTCCAAAAACCTGAATTTTTTAAAAATATTTTTTGTGGATATTTTAAACATATTTTTTAAGAGTCGTGGATTTTTTCAGGGCCTCCTGGTCAACAATTATGGATTTTTAGAAATATTTTTCAAGGACCTTCTGGTTAACGATTTTTTGATGATTGATGATTTTTTTCAAGCACTTCCTGGACAGCAATCATAGATTTTCTAGAATTATTTTTTTCTGCTTCCTAGCCAACAATCGTGGATTTTTTTATAAATATTTTTTTTTAAATATGGACAACAATCATAGTTTTTTTTTAATTTTTTTTAACATTTTTAGAATTCTTTTTTTCAAGGCACTAAGAAAATTTTGAGTTTTTTAAAAAATAATATTATTATTAAAAAAAATATCAGGATTTCCCAACCATAATTAAATCATAGATTTGTGGATACCAATTTTTAACGATTTCCCGATCACATTTAAATTGCTCTACGAGGACTTTCGGGACAATAATCTAGATTTTTAAGACAACTTTTTCAAGCACCTATGTAGGATAACGATAAATAATCGTCGGAGTTCAAAAATACTGAAATTGTCAAGGACTTTTTTAGAAATATTTCGTGAAGCTTTTATGTTTTTTTAAGGACTTTCGGCAAAAACTAGACTACTATCGAAAAAAGTTCAACCCCATATTTTGGTCGATTTTTTCCATTTCCCTAGACAATTTTGGTAATAAAATTACATCCGAAAACACAAAGGAGTCCACTACCCTATTCCATGTTAACTAATAAACATTTCACAAACATTGTACAATACATATGTACAAATGTACAGACACACATGCCACTGGCCCTGCCACATTGAATTGCAGTTTTTGTTTCTTAATGCGGTTAATTGAAATTGAAATGGAAATTATGTCTTTACCAATGAAATGTCCTGCGAGAACTTTTTGTTACCCGAGGACCAAGTGTGGTGGCTTGCAATTTGTACGAGAAAGAATGGGGGAGGAACACGTTGGTCTATGTCTGCTGTGTACGTTTTATTGCTCCATATTTAGCACTGGCTCACTCACATTTGTAATTTTAATGCCACACAAAATCATGGCCAAAAATGTTTAATTAATTGCCCATTGTTATTATTGGCCATATGAGTTTTTGGGCCATTACACGGTTTGTGTAATTCGGTTTTATTGTGTGGTAGTGGTGGCGATGCTGGTAATTCATAGTTTTCGAAAAAAATACATTTGTTTTATAATTCAAATTTAACTAACTATTGAGAAATGCTAAATGAACGGCTAAAAAACAAATGCGCAAATTTTGGATAATATCGGATCCGTATAAAGGAATTTCCCAATGGTCTTCGTTTTTGCTTGTTCCAAAAAAAAATCTAAAACCCTCTCTTAAGGTTGATATTCAGAAAAAAAATCCCCAATTTCTTTTCCAGCTCTCATCGATGGCGTTGATACTTCCAACATGAGTCGCGATCAATTGGAGGCCTTCGCCCTGCGCCTCAAAACCGAAATGGAACGTGAACGTGAAGAGCGTAATTTCTTTCAAATGGAGCGTGATAAAATACGCACTTTTTGGGAGATAACACGTGGCCAATTGGAGGAAACCACCACGGAGTTGAGGCAAAAGGATCATGAAGTCGAGATGACACAGCAGGCAGCTGATATTGATGCCAAACAGATTATGCAACAAATGAAACATTTGCAATTTGAAAATCAAAATAAAATCAGTGAAGTGAGAGCCGAAGCAATGACCCAGCTAAAAATGGCCCAAGAAGATCATGAAACACAAGAAATGCAGTTGCTTAGCGATCTGAGGGAGTTGAAGCGCTTAAGGCGAGAGGATCAGGAAATGCATGAGCTGCAAATACAAGAGCTAAAAATGAAGCATATTGAGGAAATAACGTGAGTATTTTCAAGGGGGAGGGGGAAACATATTTTAATATTTTTATTTTTTTATTTTCAGCGAACTGCGCACCAAGTTCGAAAAGGAAACCAAGGACTTGACCCTTTTGCACGAAGAAAAAATGCATGACTTGAAAAATGAAATTGAGCTCATCTATCGCATGCAAATGTTCGAAGTTGAGGAGCGTAAAAATTTACAAATTCAGAAATTAATTGAAAATCATGATATGGCCTTCAATGATATGAAGAACTATTACAACGACATAACCTTAAATAACTTGGGTCTGATAAGTTCTTTGAAAGAACAAATGGAAACCTTGCGGAAACAGGCCGAGAGAAGTGATCGCCTGGCAAATGATATGGCCAATGAAAATCGCAAACTCAAAGAACCTCTGGAACAGGCCCAACAAGAGCTGGTGGTAATGAAACGGAAATTGGAATTCTATGATCGTGATAAGGCTCAGCTGAGTCGTCTGAAGACTCGAAATGCCCAGGTGGAGAAACAACTGAAAGCATTAACCTGGGAAACGGAAGCATTGCTACTGCGCAATGATACACTGGTCAAGGAGCGTGAAGAACTCAAGGAGAAATTCGAAGATGTGGTCATTGAGCTGCAACAGAAAACTGGTCTGAAAAATGTTCTATTGGAACGTAAAATCGCAATTATGGAGAGGGAGGGAGAGAAGCAAGAAATTATGCTCAAGGAAACACTGGATACTTGTGCTGCCGTTGTAAAATCCGTGGGCAAAGACATTGAATCGCCCGTTGAACTGGAGCGCAGAGTAGAAAATGTCCTCGACGAAAAGAATAAGCTGATACAGGAATTGCGTTATGAACTGGCCCGCCTGACCAAGGCCCATGATGATCTCTTGGCCACATATGAAGCGAAATTGCTGCAATATGGCATACCAAAAGAGGAATTGGGTTTTGAACCCTTGCGCTCCACCTCCAAATGGAGTTATTTATTGGGTCCGGCCGGTTTGGTTACCAAAAATCCTTAAATATTTCAATAAAAAATATATTTAAATTTTAAAACAAAGCTGCATTGAACTTCTAGTGTTTTATTTTATTGTAGTTTATGTCCCTTCCGATGATTTATGATTTGCAACATTCACACCAACATTTGCAGTCTGGATTTCCGTATTCAGTCTATTTTGAATGTCTATGTGCTTGCATGCATTTCCTTCCACCTTCTTTTGTCTGTCATATTCAAAAAAGAAAAAAAAGATAGAAATTTTTTGTTCTTAAGATTTGGGCTTTGTCCAAGAAGACAAAAGAAATCTGTGCTAATCCTTGCCTAGAACAAAAGGAAATCCCATTCTCTTGGCCAGGCAGGCAACGAACTTGCATTTAACTCTGTTTCTGACAATTAAAAAAATGCTGAACTTGAAACATTCGTCAGCCACAACGGAAGGGAATTTTATTTAAAAAAGAAAAGAAATTAAAGAGCATCTGTTAATGTATTTTTAAATTTCAGTAAGGAAAAGTCAAAAGTCGGGCGGGACCGACTATATGATACCCATATGTTAATGATACCCATCTGTTAATGTATTATTAAATCTGCATCTGTTAATGTATTATTAAATTTCAGTAAGGAAAAGTCAAAAGTCGGGCGGGACCGACTATATGATACCCTACACCACTATATATTTAGTAGAGCTCCCGCAACAAAAGGATTTATTTGAAGTAGATAATTCCACCTATCAACATTTGGCTTTAGATCAGTTTGGTTTCAGAAGGAACAAATATATGGGAGGCATATCCAATTCGGAATCGATTTTCACTAAATTTGACGGAGACATTTTAATCTTTTATACCAAAAAACATTGCTATAGAGTGCATGAATCACTTTGAGAAGGATTATATAAAAAAATATATATCGGGGCCTAGTTTCACAAAATGGAAATGTACGTGCCGAAATTCACTATATTTGGGATTAGGATATATATGGGACCTATATCCAAATCTGAACCGATCATGATAAAATTTGGCAGAGGTTCTTCCTCTGCCCACAAGATATCTGGTACCAAATATCATTGGTTTCGAATACATATTACGAATGTGAGGAACTTAAACACCAAATCGGATGAGTCGTATATATGGGAGCTATAGCTATATCTGAACCGATTTTCATTAAATTTGATATACATGCTTCTAGACTGAATTCCGTCGGATGTACCAAAATACAGGACTTTTGGAGAGATTGACCATTTGGTGCACAATTAACCCGAAATCGGGTGTACAAAATACTTTGTACATACTTTTGAGTGCGATTGAGGCGCTGCGAAAATGTAGCAATAAAAATAAATGGTCTAAAATTAAATATTTCCCAGCCGCCATAAAATATCACATATGAAGAATTCAGTGATCTTGGGCGCTGATGCATACAATAATGTGTGAGATAATAAAGGTTATGACCCACACGCACATATATCGATGCGCTCAGTAGATGCACAAGACCACTTGAATGAGATGCCAAGCAGCCCTGCAATGTTCTCCATTCAGTATTAGAATAGATAAGAACAATTGTGTGGCTGCGACTAGGTTAAGTTAGATTAGTTTCAGTAGTACGTAAGACACATATTCTTTAAATAAAATCAGAATTGAATCAACAACCAAACCTTTCGGTTGGTTTTCTCATCTCATTAATGGGGGGAGGATATATATGGGAGCCATATCCAAATCTGAACCGATCTTGAAAAAATTTGCAAGAGGTATTTCTGGGCTGTAGATGATATCTGATACCACATATCATTGTTGTCGAATGCATATTACGAATGTGAAGGACTGAAACATCAAATCGGATGTATATGTGACATGGGAGCTATAGCTATATTTCAACCGATTTTCACCAAATTTGATGTACTTGCTTTTAGACCTGCTTTTTGGGGCATAATTAACCCGAAGTCAATTGATGATATATGGGAGCTATATCTAAATCTGAACCGATTATCGCCAATTTCAATAGGGTTCGTCCTTGGGCCAAAAAAAAATATTGTTTGGAAAATTTCATCTCAATCGGATTATATTGTAGCATGGACATATGGAGGTGGTATCGAAAATGTGTACAATAATTGTGCGAAAAGTACTAAATGGTACTAAATTGGGTAAAGGGCTGCAATCCTCAATTTTATTATTAAGGTCTCTATTGGTATCTGGAATTGGTGATTTAGGAAATATATACTAAAATTGTTCAAAATTACTAAATGATAATTTAGTATCAGCATTGGGTGAAGGGAAACTGGAATCCCGAAATTTGATACTAAATTATCAGTTGGTATCTGGGATTGTTTTCTGTAATGTTTACTATAATTGTAAGAAAAGTACTAAACGGCACTAAATTTGGTATTGGGTAGGGGACAGGGCTGGAATCCTCCAATTTGATATTTAGGTCTCTGTTGGTATCCGGAATTGAGATATGGACTTGGTTTTGGAAATGTGTACAAAAAGTACTACTTGTATTAAAAGTACTAAATAAAAATAGGGATATCCCTTAAAATTTAAAGGGATAGAGCTGGAATCACGAAATTTTTTAGTGATGTCTCTGTTGGTATCCGGTGGTTCTGGAAATATGTAAAATAATTGTACAAAAAGTACTAAGTGATACTAAGTTGGGTATTTACTGAAGGATAGAGCTGGAATCCCAAAATTTTATATTGATGTCTCTGTTTGCCGGTGAGCGAATGGATAGAGCTTGAATCCTGAAATTTGATATGGTGGTCGCTGTTAGCTTCAAGGATTATTATGAAAAGACGTTAAAATAGGTTTCGCCAGAAAAATTGGATGTAGAAGGGTTAAACTAATTTGCTTTTCGGTGAACTTCCAAACGAAAGATTTGTTAGGCTTCTTGGTACAAAAATTAATCTATTTTCGATTTCCATTTTTGATTTATTTATTTCTTTATATATATATTTTTTTTTTTGAAAATTTGCACAAGAAATAATGGACAAATTGTGTGTTGGGACGAAATTACAATTGTAACGTGGACTTTCGCTAACGAAGTAGCGGGCACTCGTTGGTGTCACCATTAAAATTGTTATTATTATTATTATTATTATTATTATTATTATTATTATTATTATTATTATTATTATTATTGTTACTATTATTATTATTATTACTATTACTATTACTATTACTATTACTATTACTATTACTATTACTATTACTATTACTATTACTATTACTATTACTATTACTATTACTATTACTATTACTATTACTATTACTATTACTATTACTATTACTATTACTATTACTATTACTATTACTATTACTATTACTATTACTATTACTATTACTATTACTATTACTATTACTATTACTATTACTATTACTATTACTATTACTATTACTATTACTATTACTATTACTATTACTATTACTATTACTATTACTATTACTATTACTATTACTATTACTATTACTATTACTATTACTATTACTATTACTATTACTATTACTATACTATTACTATTACTATTACTATTACTATTACTATTACTATTACTATTACTATTACTATTACTATTACTATTACTATTACTATTACTATTACTATTACTATTACTATTACTATTACTATTACTATTACTATTACTATTACTATTACTATTACTATTACTATTACTATTACTATTACTATTACTATTACTATTACTATTACTATTACTATTACTATTACTATTACTATTACTATTACTATTACTATTACTATTACTATTACTATTATTATTATTATTATTATTATTATTATTATTATTATTATTATTATTATTATTATTATTATTATTATTATTATTATTATTATTATTATTATTATTATTATTATTATTATTATTATTATTATTATTATTATTATTATTATTATTATTATTATTATTATTATTATTATTATTATTATTATTATTATTATTATTATTATTATTATTATTATTATTATTTTTATTATTATTATTATTATTATTATTATTAATTTCTACTTTTTTTTTAAAATATTTTCAACTACACTCTACTTAAACATTTCGAACTTTCCAAAATAAAACCCTTCCCAAAATAAAACCATATTTTTCAAAATTAGTTAATAATATTGGTATCTGCATTATAGTTTTTATACCCTACACCACATAGTGGTAAGGGTATTGTCTTTGTGCATTTGTTTGTAACATGGAGAAGGAAACGAGATAGACCCATAGTTACTTTTGAGAACCTTCATAGAATCACTTTCTGAGTCGATTTATGCATGTCAGTCCGTCTGTCCGTCCGTCCGTCTGTCCATGTATTCTTGTGAACAAAATGCAGGTCGCATTTATTATCCGATTGAGATGAAATTTTCCAAACAATATTTTTTTGGCCCAAGGACGAACCCTATTGAAATTGGTGAGAATCGGATCAAATTTAGATATAGCTCTCATATATATCTTCATCCGATTTCGGGTTAAATGTGCACCAAATATTCACTATCAGTCCAAATTACCTGAATTTTGGCACACCCAACCGAGTTCGGCCTAGAAGCAAGTATATCAAATTTGGAGAAAATCGGTTCAGATATAGCTATAGCTCCCATATATATCTTTCATCCGATTTGGTGTTTAAGCCTCTCACATTCGTAATATGCACTCCACAAGAATGATATTTGGTACCAGATATAAGATACAGCCCAGAAATAGCTGTTTGTAATTTTATCGAAATCGGTTCAGATTTGGATATAGCTCCCATATATATCTTCATCCGATTTCGGGTTAATTGACCACCAAATGGCCAATATCAGCCCAAATGGCCCGAATTTTGGCACATGTGACCGAGATTAGCCTTGAAGAAAATACAACAAATTTGGAGAAAATCAGTTCAGAAACAGCTATAGCTCCCATATATATCTTCAGATATAGCTATAGCTCCCATATATATCTTTCATCCGATTTGATCTTTAAGTCCCTCACATTCCTACTATGCACTCCACAACCGTGATATTTGGTACCAGGTATTAGATGGAGCACAGAAATAGCTGCTTTAAATTTTATCGAAATCGGTTCAGATTTGGATATAGCTCCCATATATATCTTCATCCGATTTCGGTTTAAATGTGCACTAAGGTCAATATCAGCCCAAATCACCTGAATTTTCGTACATAAGACCGAATTCAGTCTAGAAGCTAATACGTAAAATTTGGAGAAACCCGGTTCAGAGATAGCTATAGTTCGTAAAATGCACGATAGAATTAGATAGATTTTGATTTTGTACCAAATATCTCATAGAGCTCTGATATGCCCTGTATAAAACTTTTTACGAGAGCTCTACTAAATATGCATAGTGGTGTAGGGTATCATATAGTCGGCCCCGCCCGACTTTTGAGCTTTCCTTACTGGTTATTATTGTTGTTAGTATTATTTTTACTATTCTACTATTACTTTACCTCTTTTACCCCTTATACCAAAGAAAAACACAATTGTATAAAATTTAGTTTTTTTTTTCATTTTTCTGTTGTTTTTCGGAATAAGTATTTAAATGCTTTATTATTCGTATATTATATGTGTATGTTGTTGTTGTTAATTCTGTTTCGAAATCGCATTACAAGCTTAAACATCTAGAGATTACGTTCAATATGCGAGTAAATTTACGAAATGTACGATATAACACGAAGATGCGAAGACAATTATTCCATGCGATTGACGGAAATGATTGTTTAGTCGAGTTAACGCACAAAATTGTTGTTTAAAACTACAACAAAACAGTTTACTTTAGCTGTTCTGTTCAAATGGTTAATTTAATTAATTTTAAACACTATGATTAAACTGCAATACGCATATATATAGTAAAACTTATGTAATACTTATTTTTCTTTTGTTATACTTAAGAAAACAAATTAATTCGAGAAAAATCATAAAAAAGTTAGTTGGGCTAAACAAAATTATTTCCAAAATAACTAAATAATAATAATAAAAAAATAGTTTCATACGAAAATCTTAAAACAAAACAAGAATTATGATTTTCTTTCTTTTCCACAGTGTGTGTTTTTTGTTTAGTTTAACAGATAAAAAAATAATAAACATTTAATAAAAAAAATAAAAATTAAAATCGCTGAGTTAACAACAAAAGTATTGTTCTTTTTTCATAAAAATGAGGTTCAGTTTTCTTTTTGTTAATTTCATTTTTATTTAATACTACAAAAAATTAGAAATGTTTTGTTTGCCTGAAAATATTTCTCAAATATTTCATTTTCAGTTCAATTTTGTTGTAATTGTGTTTTATTTCTTTTTTTAGTTTAGTTTATTTATTTTTTGTTTCTTTTTCAAGATATCACATGAGGGTTTCAACGGTTTGTTTGTTTTGTATTTGTTTCCTAGTTTTATTTCGTTTTTGTAATCTTTTGTCGCAAAATTTTTTTTATTTCCTTTGGAATTTTTGTTTCAGTTTTTAATTTCTATTTTAAATCTATAATACATGATCTGAAAAAATAGCGGCCGAAATACTTTATTTTAATAGGATATAGAATTTCAAAATCTAGTCAATACAAAAAAAAGCCTAGTGTCCACATATTTTGTGTCATATTCAATTCAGAACTGGGGAATTCCAGTGTCAGTTTACTGATTCTGGGATTTGTAGGTTTGGAACGATAGATATCCTAACGTAAATTTTCTAGTGTCGATGCCTATGCCAGCAGATATATAAGGAGCGGATGCAGCTTGAATGATGTCTCCATAAAGTCTTTCTGCAACCTTCCGAACTTGAGCAGCTTTCTAAAGCGAAGGTTGGTGAACTCCTTGAATTCTGAACAGTAAGCATTCCCAAGGTTAAGGAAAGTACGGCGTTGAGAGGATGGAGACGATTATCGGAGGATGGAGACGTAAATTCGTTTTGAACTACATTTCTGTAGCACTATAATCCCTTCGCAATATAACCGCTTTCGCTGTAGTCTCGCAACCGACTTAATCCGGAACAATTTCTGAAGTTCAGCCATTCTCTGCATCCATTACATCGCACCGGAATACGTTTGTGGCGAATGACATTCAGACAAATCGAGCAGAACCAAGGTCCGGGGTTTACTTCGATCCAGCAGAAAAATAAACAAACACGTATACATATTGTGGTAGAGGGCAATGGTAGATATAAAAGTGAATGTCGAAGGAAAATACCCTTTAAAATATGTTTTTCAAAATTTTCGATTTTACTAGAAAAAATAAATAAATAAAATAAACTATAAAATTAGAAGCATTACCCCGCTGCTACCTTTCAGCTCATGTATTATAAGGATATTTTTCGGCATGTGTGTATATTTTCAATTTTACTATTTGTTTTTTTTTATCGATTTTTAAACAAATCGTTACAGAAAAAAATTCCATCTAAAGAAGAAATAACAGTTTTATAATTTATTCTATGGTTAAAGGTTTGAAATCACTTTGTTTGAAAAAAAAAATATGGTGGGTAATAACAGTTTTTGTATTAAAAACATAAATAAAAATTAAATACTTATATTTATTTAGATATTCTTGCTATTTTTTTTTTCTTTTTAATTTATTTTGGATTGGAGGAATTTTCAATCTAAATATTAAGAGGAGTTATGTTGATTTTAGTTTTGGTTTCTGTTTTTCGTTTATTTTTCTTTCATTTGTTTTGTATTGTAGGTATGGATGCACGAGTATAATTTTGTTTCTTGAAAAGGTACTTTTTGTTCCAGTTGCTTATTTCATTTTTTTTGTTCTTGTGAGTTTTGGTTTTAAAATTATACATTTTTTTAATAAATAAAACAATTTCTTTTATTAACTCTATGGAATTTTGTTTAATTTATATGTTTGTGTATTTATTTATGTTCAGTGTTTTGTTGAATGGGTGAGTTGCAACAACTGATATATTTCTTTTTTTTATTAAAAATTAAAATATCAAATTAAATTGTTCTATTCAAATTCATTTGTTGTCATTAATTTCGACCAATTAAACTTAATTTGTAAAATATAAGTATTTTTTAATTTTTTTACTATTATTAAATTGAATTTAGTATTTTTTTGTTTTAAATTTTTGGATCACAATTTATTTTCACTCACAGATTTGGTTGAAATTTTGAATTTAATTCTATTTTATATCAAATTTTTGTTTTCTATTTTAAGATTTTTGTAGTTTTAGAATATTTTGGGAAAAAAGGAAAAAAAACTACTAATAGGACGTTCAAGATAAGGATTCTTTGATTGGACAACATCATTACATAACACGAAATGGTAATAATTGTCATGTCACCGGCACCAAGTCAACATTTCTTTACCGGTAATTCAATGCGTTTACCGCAAATGTATTTCTATGTTCTGCAAAGTTCTTGGTGTTACAAAAACCTTAGAAACCTTCATAAGCGTAGAACTTCTGTTGGTGAGGTACCAGAAGAGATTGACAGATATATATCATCTTCTCAACAGATCTTGTGTTAGCAAAAATATTTGGATTTGTGAAATTTGTTTTTTAAAAATCATGAACCCTATGTGGGGGAGGTACCACAAGAAATGGCCCGATCTGTACCATCTTTATAACAGATCTTGTGTTGATAGAAATATTGAGAAATACCAAGTCTGAATGGAATCCAATGTTAATTTCGTGTTTTATGAACTTCGTGAATACAGAAAATGTTGACCGTTTGTGGAGGAGGTATCAGAAGGAATTGACCGACATATCGCAATTTCACTTCAGACTTTGGGTTAATAAAAATATTGTGATGAGTGTAATTTGAAGACAACCGGATTCTTTTTTCGGATTCTATGATCGTTTCTTTGACCCTTTCTGGGGGAGGTACCAGAAGAAATGGTCGGATCTGTACCATCTGTATAACAGATCTTGTGTTGATAGAAACATTGAGAAGTACCAAGTCTGAATGGAATCGGATGTTAATTTCGTGTTTTTATAGCTTCATGAATATTCAAAATGTTGACCCATTGTGGGGGAGGTATCAGAAGGAGTGGGCCGATATATTCTAACTTCAGACCAGACCTTGGCTTTATAAAAATATTGTGATGTGTGTGAATTTGAAGAAAATCAGACTATTACATTACATTTTAAGGAGCTATAATTATTCAAAATGTTGACCCTTTGTGAGGGAGGTATTTGATGGATATTGTCTATTTTCGAGTCCGATCAAGCACTGATGCAAATATTAGATGCAAAGTTGGAGCAAAATCGCATTATCTCTTTCTGTGCAGTTCTTTGTGTGGGAGGTACCAGAAGGAGTGGACCAATATTGCCCATATCCGAACTCGATCTAAGTTTGACAATAATATTATGATGAACCAAGTTTCTATCAAATCGGATACTTTCTTCGAGAATTATCGTACGCACCAGCAAGCCAGACAGAAGGACGGACGGACATCGCTAGATCAACTCCAAATATCCTGAGACGGATTTGGTCCAAAGAGGCACAGGGTCTAAAACCGTTACTTCGATGGGACACGTTTTGGCTGTTTCAAATGATATATACCCTCTCTAGCCATATGGCTTATCCAGGGTACTAAATCCGGCTTTACAGTAGGACACTCAAAATTTGCCATAAATCCGAAAAAAAGAAACTGGAACCCGGGCAATACATGTTTTAAATTTATTTTTTATAATTTAAAACAACTGTACAAAATGAACTTTTCAATTAAAACCCATTTCTATACGAAATATTTGAAAAATCGTTGTCTTGAACTTTTGTTTTTCGTTAAAGGCTTTTAGTTGTTGTTCGCATTAATTTTAGTGCCAACGTTTTTTTGTTAATTGCTGTAACTAAATTATTAAAATGTAACAACACAAAAATTAGCAATGGCACAGTTAAATTTTCTATTCCAAAAGCCAAAACAGAAAATAACTAAATATTTTCAACTATTTTTAATTTATTTAGAAAGGCAGTTAAGATGATCGTTTATTTTTGTTGTTAGTAAAAACTATGTTTCCTTGAATGGATTTTGTGTTAGTTTCTGTCTTTTTTAATTTGGCTAAAACATTTTGTTAGTTTATTGTATTGTTGTTGTCGTCGTTAGTCTGTAACTGTTTTTCTTTGAAATATGTTTGGTTTTTTTTTTCGTTTGTTTCTCTAGTTAAATTAGTTTTGTCCCAGATATTAGTTTTGTTTGTTAATATTGCTTTTCGTTTATTTGTTTCTTTATAATTTAGTCTGTATGAGATTTCAAGTAATATTCTTTTGTTGTTGTTGTTGTGGTTATTCTATGATTTTCATTTCGATAGGCAGTTTTGAATTTTGTTATTGAAATGCTGTGTTTGCTTGATTTTAGTTATTTCAATTTTTCTTTATGTGTCATATTATATCCAGAATTGTATTGAATGGGGTATTTCTATTACGTATGCAGGTATGCGTGTAATGTTCAATTTCGTAGTTAAGAGAAATGTGTGCAACACTAGAGTCATTATTCTAAGACAGGGCCAAAAGTAAAAAAACTTTGAATACCCAAATACAAAAGGCTATGGGGGCTATACGAAGACCTGGACCTTCATAGACAATTGTCTGTCTTGGTCTGTAGTATATATTACGAACTTCAATTAGAAAATTTGAAACAATTCCGGTGAGTAATGTCGCTAAAATCATCAACATATCGAATATAAGGACATACCGTTATATGGGGGCTATACCAAAGCGTGGACCTGCACGGACAATTTTCTGTCATAGGCTGTAGCATACATTATGAAATTCAAATTCCAAACTTGAAACAATTCCAGTAATTAATGTAGCTAAAATCATCAAAATACCAAATATCGGGAAGTGGACATACACGGACAATTTTCTGTTATAGGCTATAGCATCAATATACAGAATTTCAAATACCAAATTTAAAACAATTCCGGTGAATACTGTCGCTAAAATCATCAAAATACCGAATATCGTGAGGTACCGTTCTATGGGGGCTATACGAAGACGTGGATCTGCACAGACAATTTTCTGTCATAGGCTGTAATATCCAATTACGGATTTGACAGAATTTACTTGTGTGGCATCCTAGTATTTGCAACGGTGGAAGAATGCTCTTTGCGGAAGTTGTGTACATTGATGGTAGTACTTGATCGCTAAATACCATGGAAGATGAACACGAAGAAAAGTCCAGGAAAAAGTCCATAGTGTTTAAGTCCGCTGAAAATACAATCGTTGGATAGCTCCTATGGATGTCTGTTTAGGTAGTATGGCCTGGCCTGCTACATTAAATTTAGCCATGGTAAATAGTGTGTGTAAATTCTAAAAACTGGAAACTGGCAGAAACACACGTCTGGCATCTCTAAATGCGGTACTTTGTCTAGAGAACCTAAAGAATTAAGGACAATTTCAGACGTTGAAAAGCGCTGTGAGTCTCGGGTCTGTTCCGAAATTGGCTTTAGCCACATAAACTCAACATTAAAACGGAAGACATAAATATTTTATAAAATGACGATTGACTACAACAAATATACAAATTTAACCAAATACAATCATCCGGTTTCTAGGTCTGAAGTCTTAGCGTTTCTCTATCTCATCGCAGAAGCAGTAAAAGCTTTAATCAAACCCTTTGGGTATTGCGAATTAGGGATTCGGCAGAATTCACTATTGTGTCATCCTAGCATTTTGCAACGCTCATATTTGCTCATATGATAACATCAGCTTAGGTTAGGTTAGGTTAAAGGATGCGTTGTTGCCTAAAACACAACCACTCCACTCGGTGACCTACTGGCTGACTGAACATCAGCTTAACATGAACCTGACCTTAACTTATTGGAAACTGTCTTCAAAGGATGGAGCCAATATGTCCCATTTTCAATACCAAATACTTTGTAGGGACTAAAATGGACATTTCAAGGTATTACACATGGCGGAATGACTCATATCCCCCTATAGTGTATGTATATCTTGGAGTGTATGAAAGGAGACACATTTTTAGTAGGATGCTATACTGTCAGACATAAGACAGACTTCTGGGCGATCATTAGATCCATTTTTATATGTGTTTTATATAAACGATGAATTTTCCAGTTAAATTCTTCAAAAACATTTCATGGACGGTATATCGGGCCTAGCGGATAATGTCTGGGTCACGTTTTCACGCTTCAAATTCATCTTCTCCAAACCACTCTTTATTAATGTCCTCTTCTTTTTCAAAATATTGTCTGGGGAGTCTGGGATAAGTTTCCTCTTTTTTTCAAAATATTGTCTAAGTATTTTTACGCATGTGGTCTGAAAATGTTGTCAAATTTTATTTCGATAATTTTTGTAAATTTAGGATGTGGCCCAGTTAAAAGACCTCTAGCGTTTTTATTACACACATTATACCGGAGAAGATATATAATCTTATTTCATAAAAAAAACAAAACTTTATTTATATTAATTCCAAATATACGTAGGGGTGCGGGAAAAAATTCTAGAAAATTGTTGTTGTTGATTTTCGTTTTTGTTTCCAGTCCAGACCAAAAGATATAGTATGTATATATTGTATATATGTGGAAGATTTGTTTGTTTGTTCTTTTATTATTAATAATTTAGTTTAACATTTTTTTACTTAACTTAAATTTATGTTATGTATTGTTACGAATGTTGTTTTAGAAACGTGTTTTCACTTTGTTTTACTTTTGTTTAGAACAAAATTAATAATTAATTAATTTTCTATTACTGTCGATAATAATAATAATAATACTTCAAACTGTGATTCATCTGCTGTTTGTCAATAAAATTTTGTTTTGAACAAAGAATAATGAGTTATACCTATATGCATTTTTTTGTCAGTTTGTTTTGCAGGATTCTGTTTATTGGCGGTGTTCTGGTTAATATCGGTAATTTGTGTTTTTTCTTTTGTTTCATTTCATCAGTTTCGAAAATTTGTTTTTTATTATATTTTTTGTTTGTTTTGTTTTTTCGGTACTGTACGTATTTGTTTTTTTTTTTTTTCATAAGGCATAGTTTCTTTAGCATCCATATGGTTTAAAAAAATATATAGAATATGATTTCGATTTTTATTACTATTATTTAATTTCTTTAACAAAAACAATTTATTTCGAAATGGTTGTTTGAGATTCTTTTAAAACAAAAAAGGTACTTATTAACGGTATGGAGTATTAATGTGTAGGTATGTGTGTTAAAAATCAATGAAGTAAATTCATTTATGTTTGGAAAAAAACTTAAAGCAAAATCAGAGATAAAAAACTTAAATTAATTCTTATATAGAATAAAGAAAAAATAAATTCTTATTTCAATTCTCATTAAAGCAAGTTTTTCAAGTTTTTTTTTCTTCTATGTTTTCAATATTTATGTGTTAAATATTATCTTGTAGCTTTAATAATAAAAAAAACTTTAGAAGAAAAAAACATAATACCATAATACGAGTACATATTTTATATATAAGAGAATTAATTATATGAATATTAAAATTGTCCATTGTTTAAAATGTTTCTCATTTGCAATGCTGAAATTATTCTTACATCTAAATATTCGATTTTATCGTTTTAAATACCTTTGTTTCCTTCATTAACACACTCTCGTCTTACTCAAAACGATGGGTAGCGAAATTATGTATTAGATCTGGTGTATGCTCATCTAAACCACAAATTTCCAAAATGTTTTCATTACGCGTTTCGGAATATGCCATGGATGGTTTGAATCTCAACAAGTCCAATATGATGAACCTTAAAAAATGTTTGCGAACAAAAAATTGTTTTTAATTATATATTTTTTTTTTTTTTGCATTAGTAAATTACATGTTTACAGATCTGTATTATCTGCAATTATTTCGGACAACTTGTGAGCTACAATCCAATGAACGCTATCTTAATCGTGTTTTTATTTCTGTAAGTCAAAGTGACTCTTTTTGTGAAAATGCAATCCCTAAGAAAATTTTATTTAGAGTCCTATCAGTAGATTCGTTTTCGAAATTTAAAATAAATGATGCTTATACTTGTCTTCTTTTCTATGGAAATTCAAATACTTGACTTATAAGTAGAACGAACCCGTAAGACCATTGGCTAATATCGGGAGGTAGTTTTATACAGGGGATATATAAAAACATAGGTTTATCTAGAAACGTTCCTGCCAGATAAAACACTTGCGATTGGAACGAACCAAATACCAAATTTTAAACAATTACGTTGGAAAATGTAACCACAATCAGCGAATATTTTGAATTATTTTGAGATATGGCGGCTATTCTAACATAGATAGACTACTTTTTGCCTGATAGGTTGGTATCCAGTAAAAACTTCAAATACCAAATTGTAAACAATTTTGTTGGAAAATGTGTCAACAATCATCAAATAGCGAATATCTGGTGGTATCTTTCTGTGGGGATGAAAAAACTGCAACCAATTTCAGACTGCCACTCGAGCCACTCGACCGAAAGCTGTTAAAATTATTCCATTGACTGCTCATTATATTGTTTACAAACGTACAAGAAAAAACAGAAAAAAAGTTATTCGTGTTGGAATTCAAGCGTGATTTCTTTATATTTGCCTGGAAAACCACAAGGTGCTATCGTTGGAGCACTCCAGCATTTAAATGTGAATAAATCTTTTGTGTCTCGTACCATCGCTCGTTACCGTGATACTGGTAGCGTAGTCCGACGTCAAGGAATTGGACGGAAGAAAACAGCAACATCAGCAGAAATGGTTTTAAAATAAAGAAGCTATTTGATCAAAACCCGCGTCGTAGGGGCCGAAAAATAGCTTGTAAGCTGAACATATCGCAATATTCCATTCGGCAAATATTAAAAAATGAGCTCGGGGTAAAGTCATTGAACAGAAACAGAAATAAAATATACTCAAAAGAGCTAAAGAGTTGCTTTGCTTGGTCGAAAGTGGTGAACTGCCGAATTTGGTTTTCTCAGATGAGAAAACATTCGTTGTCCAGCAGTTTGTAAACAAACAAAATGATCCTGTTTACTTGCCAAAGAGGTCAGCTGAAAATGTGCACCTTCGGTTGGCCACCAGAACTCAAGCCCCGGCCATGGTGATGGTGTAGGCCGTCATAACAGCCGATGGTCGCACTCCGCTCGTATTAATCGACCGTAGCATCAGAATAAATGCCGAATATTATCGCGAAAATATTCTGGAGGGTGTATTAAAGCCCTGAGCATGCAAACATTTTGGCCGCAGACCTTGAACAGCCCAACAGGACGCAGCAGCATCGCACTCAGCACGCGCCACCTAATAATGGTTTCAAAGTGAGGTTCCTCGCTTCATTAAAAATAATGTGAAAATTATGGCGTTGACTTTGTTGCAGTTTTTTTTATCTCACCCTGAATATCTGACACTCCTTCTCCTACTCTATACTTTTCTGCGTTTTAGTTCTCTGAATGAATTCAACAAATTTTATAACAAAATGTTGATCGGTATAATCGTGATACAAATTTTTTTGGTGTTTTTATTTCAAATTTGGCAGGCGTGCCAGTGTTGTTGGTTCAATAAAAACTATTAGATTTTTAGTACATAAAAAACCAATGTTTTGGATAAAATAGTGGTATATTCTCTCAATGAACTGTTTCAAACTACTTTTTTCATTTAATTTCGAATTTCTTCTACATTTTGCAACCGCACTTTTAATTGTCGTTTTTTTTTTTTTTTTTTTTTTTTTGGTTTTATCGGTTTTTGGGTACAAAACTCAAACTCAAAAAATCACACCGCAATTCTGGAAAAATGTGAATTTCAATAAAAAAAATTAATCCAAATAGACATGAGAAAGCGCCAATTCAATTTGCAATAGGACAATGTCTTCACAGCAAAAGGCGGCAATATGCTCCAATGTCTCTGTACAAAATTCTTTTCTTTTGTCTTACTAAACATTTGGAATTACGTCCTCTATTTAATATCCCTATCATTTCTTGTGCCACATTGCTTAGAGATTATTTTTAACCCCAGCACGTTTACGCAATACAATAATAACTAAAAAATGTATATTTTGTACTCACTTTGCTTTTGAATTTTTCGTTTGACGATATTTATCCAAAAATTTGCATAAAAATTCCGAATTTTTATTTGGATTGCCACGGCCAGCCGTTGGAACAATACACAAAAATACATCATAAACTTGCTGGCTTGATAGAGCATTCAAAATTGGGGTGACTAAACGTTGATTGTTCTTTTGATTCTAAAAAAATATATATATGAATGACAGAAAAACAAGTTTATTAGAAACAAAGAAATGAAAAACATAACCAAATAATTAGGTAACCAACCAACCTCAACCACATCGTATGCAGTAAAACCCAAATGGGTTGTGTAGTCCTTTTCGTAAACAATCTTTTTCAATTTCATTTTATCCTCATACCAATGGAAAACATCCACCAAAGCCTCACGTTTCGAATAGCCAAAGGCAAGGGCTAAACAAGCATCATAGTAGGTCAACTTGCGATGGTTCTTTAAGAATTCTAAAAGAAGAATACAATTTGTAAGATGAAAACCAGATCAAATTATTTCTCTAGGTCAAATGATATTTACTTTTCTTGTAATTGCTTTGCAAATTCAGTGTAATATGCATGCGTAGTTTGCCGCAACCAGCTTGCCATTGGAATGAGTCTCGGTACAATTGATCCAAATATTGCATTTTATATGCTTCCACTTTTTTATTGGGCAATTTAGTTAGATCACCGCTAACTATACCAATATCGTGCATATTAATAAGAATCTGTACCGGATGAATGTTGGTCTTGCGTGCCAGCTCTTTATTTTCTAGGCGTGATTTACACAACTTGAAAATACGTTGATTTTCAAAATGCTTATTCTTGGCCATACGTCGCCAGCATTTTAGCACTTGAAGATATGGCATGCTGGGCAATAGCTGAGCCATTATTGGGGCATAACCCAAAAAGTGCCCAGGAACTTGATGGTAGGGCAGTTTGTATTTACGAATAATTTTCAACGCATCGTGATTCTTTTTGGTAACGCGTAACTTCGAAACGGCCATACTCAAGTCTGAAGCTGATGCCGGTGGTTTGGGAGCAGAATTCGATTGGACATTTAAATCATTCACTTTAGTTTCATTAGCATTGGAATCAGTGGTTAATACTGGTGACGTCTCTTTAGTTTCCTCTTCTTTCGGTGTTTCGCCATTTGTGGTAGCCGCTTCTGATTGTTTTTCAGATTCATTTATTAGTTCCGTACAGGTTTTGAAGAATAATGTTGACACCTCGGGAGATCCAATGGTGCCATCTGATATGTGGCACAATTTAATCAGAGCTTTATGTGTGAATCCATGTAAACCACGATGAGCCATCCACATTGTTCGTATAGCCTCAGGTGTACGCATTTCGTACCATGATGTTATGGCTTTACGCGCGGTTCTTGAAAACCCTTTGTGATTTTGTAGCTTTGCAATGTGCAATGCATATTTGCTGAATAAGAAGAGATCATCATCGGTGCGTAAGAGAACGGGAAAGGCAATGCGCAAAGCTGTTTTCCATTTGATGTCAATATCGGCTGCCAAATATGAGGCGTATAGGAAAATGACCTAAAAATAAATAAAAACAGATTAACGTTAATAACAGTTAATAATAAATTGTTAAGAAAAAATATTTTCATTCGATTTTGTATTATGTCTAACTTAATTTAATATCTAATTTAATTTATTTTAGGAAATTTTAATTGAGGCTGTTGTCAGTTTGTTGATGAGACAGGGAGTTAATGTGGGCTTTTCACATCTAAACCAACTTCCTCGCCAACAAACTGACAATTGGAGCAATTTTAGTTGCCCAGTGCAAATGGAGACTTAGTTTTAATTTAAACTAAAATTCGGATTTAAACATAAACAAATGATAGATCTATGACGGAGAATGCTATGGATGCAGAGATCTATTGTAATAACCTACATATCTTTAAGCCCTAACTAACGTAAGTGCACAACATCAATGTTCCCAAATGAACTTACCTCATCTCGTCGTATGAGTGTGCGATCGTTTAAGATGTCCTTGAAAAATGGTAGCATAACGCTATCATCTAAGCCCTTCAATAAATCGGAAACTAAGGGCCAATATCTTTCCACTGACAATGACCCTCTCAAGTAAACATAGACCGGTTCGAAGCCACCCAAATAGCAGTAACGCTTTAATTTCATTTTTGCATCCATTTCAGCCATTTTTCCACACTCCGAACAGAATCTATAAATGAACCGTACTAATTTAGTATCAACTTGTTGATATCTTCTAGAATACTTACCAAACTGAAGATTAAATATTAGCACTCTTTGTTGGTTGGAGAACAAATTAAAACCGTAAACCAAACCAGATGAATGGAGGAGACCAAATGAAACAGACACACACAACGGCAGCCAGCTAAACAGAATATCCAGCAGAAGGCAAATGAATCGCAATGATTCAGCCAGCCAACACTCTTTACTAATACACTAGTGAACACGGTGGCGACGGCCTAGCAATTGGTCGGTCGGTCGGTCAGTATCTTCCTCTCTTTTTGTGCTTTCAAATTCAGAAATGGGGCGCGCCCCTTGTTTGTTGTTCGATTTGAAGAAGCACTAATGTTTGTTGCGACACACAAAAACAAAAATTGCGTTTCAATTTGTTGTTGTTATTGTTGCTTTTCTAATTTTCTAACGCTTCAGACTTCTTTTACTTCCACCATCCACTTATTAAGCTTTGCTTGCTGCTGCTTACCGCTAGGCTTGCTGTAAATTCGCCACTGATGTTCACGTCAAAATATATTTCGTGTTTTTTCCCTCATAAATTCCTTTGCAACTTTTTTTTGAAAGAATTTTGCCTGCTTCCACACTCACCAACCAACACCAACACACGCACTCATACCAATTAATTTGCAGGGGTATACAATTTGCTTAGCTATTCCTTTTCTGCCGTTCGTAGATGCCAAGTTTTTTCCTAACACTTCAGAAGCTCGAAGAACAATTCCAACAAACAAAACTAATTAGAATCCCACTAACTGAACTAGATTTTTGTTAATCGCGGCATTAGTTTTGTTGGAGTGAAAATTATTAATGTTTACACTGGTATTAGGGATGTGTAAGTCGACTTTTCACCAATCGATTTTAGAATAATCGATATCTCAATGCAATGATAGTGATATGTAGGTGTATTAATCAAGTAATAAATAACGGAAAAAATATATAAATACAATAAAGCTCTATTTACACCGAACATGTTTCATGCTGTCTTTTTTTAATAGTAAGAAAGCAAACTATTTTCTGACCAAAAAATCACTACTTATGTGCAAGAAGAAGGTGTAATGTGGCGTTTCCACTGCACTTGATTCGCTCTCTATTCGTTGTTTGGCCCTTAACTATGAAAAAACTATCTAATTCTTCACACAAAATTTCCTGAGCGAACACTCATATTTGTACGTTGTTCAAATCAAATCACTCTCAGAACAACGAAAAAATATGTCTCATCCCTAACAAATGAGAGCATTTACCGAAAAAATAAATTATGACATTTAAAAATTAATAATAGGAAAATTTAATGAAATTTTAAAATTTTTTGGGAAGACTGAAAATTATGAATGAAAACTACAATGTTGAATGGCGTATGTACATTCAAACGAAAGTACATTTTGTTTTCTCTCTCATCCGAGGTACGCATTTTGTCCACGAGTTGAAATTTTCACAGAAAACTGCAAACAAAAGAGGCAATATTTTCAAAATGTTTGTATTGACAGAAAAAATGTTTGACAAGTGTCTCTCCAGCAGAATTTAAAAATAGAAAAATACAAAAATATATTCAAAATGTCAACATTTACACAAAAAGTTGAAAACGTGAATGAAAATTATAAAATTATTGATATAATAAATCTTTGGGAGAAAAACAATCATTTATTCTATTCATATTAGTGAGAATTTAATGTAATTTATTAAAATTCCCATTAAAATCAACAAACAAAATTTTTGAAAAAGGGAATTATTTTACTATGAATTACGAATCGTGCCGTATGAACGGGTTAATTCGTGTACCTAATTCTGAGAGCGAACAACGTTGTTCGGTTTCCAATGGAAACATGTTATAAAAGATATTCTTCTATAAAACACAGTTTTTGATACGTCAAAATCAAAAACGATACAATTTTGTGTATAACCTTTTTATACATCTTCACTTTCTGAGGAGATCATTTGAGTTAAGATGACACCGGAAAGAATTTCATGCCATATAATTGAGTCATTAGCATTTGTTTATTATTATTTTTTAAATCTCATTTTATAATATTATAATATTCATTAAAATCACGCATATCGAATTTCGTGTTGTTTTGATATTAACATCAATGGTGTTGTCTCTTCGAAAATAAAACAAAATGATATTGTATGTGGCATACCTACAAACCATGGTAGGTATGCTTATTGTTTTCAAAATGCTTATTGCAACATATGCATCGACAAAATCTACAGTTTTTGTCGCGAAATAAACCATAAGAGATATATAGAACATGATTTTGAAAAGAAATTTTGAACTATCATTAAGTTTTCGCGGTTTTAAATTATTTATTCAAAATCAATGCAACAAGTTGTTTGCTTTTTTATTGTTTTAATAGCAATTCTGACATTACAAGCCAAACAGGTAGACCTCTATACTTGCAATTTTTTCAAAGTTAGCCTACTTTGTCTTCATTGAACCATGCATGCATGCATGGTACAATGATATCAAGGTAGGGTTATTATACCATATGATTTCAATTTTTTTATTTTCTTGGCTTAATATGTCATTTTTATTTGTTTATGTATGTGTTTTCTTTTCAATAACAAAAAAATTGTTCAGAAAACATTCAAATTCGGATGTTTTCAAAATGTTTATTTCATCGTATTCATCGACAAAATCTAGAGTTTTTGTAGCGAAATAATCCTTTAAAGATATACAGAACCTGGTTTTGAAAAGAAGTGTTGACCTTTCATTCAGTTTTCTCGGTTTTCAAGTATTTATTCAAAATAAATGCAACAAGTTGTTTGGTTTTTTATTGTTTTGATACTAATTCTGACATAGACCTACACTTAGAAAAAAATTGTAATCAGCTGGTAGCTCTACCTTACCTTTTAATTGTACCATGAATGCATCTACCTGTACTCTTCTGCCATGCAAATACCTAACCTTAAAAAAATTGAAAAAAAAACGAGATTTTTTACTGAGTGTGATTCCGTCCATTACTTAAAATTTAACAGAACTGCAAGAATGTAAACGTTTTTACAACATATAACAGATTTTGCTTTTATAATATCAGCAAAATATTATTCCTCTAACTTTCGACATACGCTCTTACTTTCGTTGACATGTATGTGGCCTATACTGTTAGTTTGCAAAGTAAATGGCAACACTATTCATAGTAATGAACCGTTATTGGTGCATCGTTTGCTTTCAATGGTCGGTGTATTTTTTCTGAAAGAAATTTTCTGCAAAATTTTGTCGTTTATCAAATTCAAAACAAAGTTCATTATTATTAAGAATATGTTTGTTCGGGAGTAGTTCGCGGCCGCGTATACACGTTTCAAATGACACAAAATCGGGACTGTGTGATGTGAATTTCTGGCGTGCGTTTGTGTTTTGAATTAACATGTTTATGAATGAAATTCTAGTTTGAGGGCAAAGCGTTTTATAGTTATTAGAAAAAAATCCTTGTCAATATGAGAGTAAGTTCCTGTAAGCACACTAACAAGAATTAAGATTTTAATAATTTAAACTTTATTGTAGATTCTGCGTTCCCAGTACTTGCAGTTGCAAGGAAACCTTCATCAATCAACAACAACAACAACAACAACAACGAATGGAGGCACCATTCGCCCCACAAACAAACAACGACAACAGCAACAGGTAAGTGTATTTTCCTGTTCGAAATCTATAGTTTTTATCAATACCCTTTCCCTATAAAGAACACCACACACACCTTTCCATCGTGTGTGACCAACAATTCTTATAATCTTCGAAATTTACCCCGAGGCAAAAATAACAATTGCTTTAACAAAAGCAATAGTAGTAAGCATAATGAACATAACGCTTGCCATTACACAACTGTCAGTGGATACTCATTGAGACAAACACAAAATCGAAACCAGCGGGTTGGCAATGTTACCAGAAATGTAATGGTAACCCGTAGTATTGCCCAGCGTACAACTTCGGTTTACCGGCAAAATAGAAAAGTTTCTGTTAGCTCAACAGAATCATACGATTCCACAACTTCATCCGAACCACAGTCATCATCATCTACTTCATCCAGCCACACTTCGGCCAGTACAAAGTTGTCTTCTTCAGATAGTCATGGAACGGCATCTTCTTCCAGCAGGGCACTAACCCAATCATCACTGATATCCAATGTTCCATCCTCAGGCTATGAAACGTTACAGCGCAGTAATAAACAGCAGATAGCGCAGAAAGAATGTATTAATAAAGCCATAACACAAGCCAACTTTCAACATTTACATATTAAATTTTCCAATGTACCCGCTGGTATAGGCAAAATTAATGTCAATGTTGAGTTTACCGACATAAGTCCACAGTGGTTAACTACAGTCTATAATTCATATGAAAATAATTTCTGGTATAAAATACCGCGAAATGATGTGCAGAGCAAAAGTCGTTGGTTTTTTCTGTGCAAGTTTTGTGAAAAAATGTTGGCATCTTTTCTTTCATTGAAAAATCATCTAAATACACATCTAGAATTGTATCCATACAAGTGCAAGTTGTGTTCCAAAGCATATGCTGGTCGAAATGGAATAACAAAACATTTACGAAGTCTGCACAATATTCCAACAGAGAAATACAATGTATTTATTGGACAATAGTTCAGGATGTACTACTGGTAATTGTATAAAACGAAAAAAAAAAAACAGAGGTCAGGAACCTGCTTTCATTTTGATATATTGTTACAAATTATTGAACCTATTTGTATATATGTAATTTATGTTGGGGCCTAATTGCGATTTGATTTTTTTAAGAGTCTCCATACCATTGTGAAAAGTTTATTATACTTGCGGCAAGTATAACTCTCTAATGTAAATCAGAACTTTGACTTGACTATACAAAACCATACAAATTGACAATTGTACAATAAAATACATAGTTTTAAAAATACTTACAATTTCACCAATCATAAAAGATTAAACAGTCAACATATCATTTATGAATTTCTTAAATGTTTGCAGACTGCTTCCAGGACAATATACAGTAATAACGGATATTTGGTTTAACCATAATATATCTTCATAGGCATTTGTCATCATATTTAATGTGCAAAAAAATTTAACCATGAGAAATACCACAATAAGTTTTTTACTTTATATTAACCAAAATTTTTTTTGGGAAATACTGAACTAATTTTCTGAAAAATATGTATTTTTAAGAAAATCACTTACATCTATTTTTTAGAATATCGTCTAATTTTGACCTCGGACTTAAATAGTATATGACACATAACTAGCCATAGTGTACAAGGAATCCATTTTTTATTGACATTTGTATATTGGTACACACACTTATTTATATAACAATTGACTAAACATCAATCATTTCATTGACTTTTATAGAATTGTATACTGAATAATTTTTATTTGATTCTAAGTATTGTACAAGTTACATTTAAATTTTACATATGAACTTTTTCTTTTTAATTGTACAATAAAACATTCGTTTACGTAAATATGATTTTATTATATGCTTTTTATTTAGAGCGTCATTATTGCGAAAGTCCCCGGAAAAAAATGAAATTTTTTGAGACAATTGATCGGATGTTGAATGCAAATGGTCACAATGGAATCACATTTGAAAGTGACAGCCCCCCTATGTACTAGGTAAACCTTATGAATTCCATGTTTTGAGGTCTTGAATCAATGCTGGTCTTTTGGCGTATTCATTTTCATTTACGTGGCCCCAAAATGGTCAATTGTGATTCACTCTTTTTTGGGAAGTGCAAGGAATTCGATGCCTTTGTGATACGTAATAAATAAATGGCATTCAGAGCAATGCCATTCATCTCCGGCCATCCAAAAATCATTAATCATATTTCAATCCTAATTTGCAAGATAAGGCCAAATGACACCGTAACATTCCTAAATATTTGTTATTAACCCCATAAAGTAGATATTTTAATAATCAGCATAAAATTCTAAGTCGAACGGTGTCTGTCTATCTGTTGAAATCACGATACAGCCCGCGTTATTTGACTTGGAGCTTCAAAATTTGGCAGAACAATTTGTATTGTATAGCCGCCATATAACGGTGCCTCCCGATATTCGGTATTTTAATGATTTTAGCCACATTTTTTAATGAAATTGCCTGAAATTCTACACAAGGAGTTCTCTATGATACTTTACCCCCTGAAAAAGAATTATCCCCCATACAATGGTGCCCCGCGATTTTGCGTATTTTGATGATTTTAGCCATATTTTTCAATGGAATTGGATTAAAATGTACACAAGGAGTTCTCTGTGAGTACTTTACCCCCTGGAAGAGAATTCTTTAGATAGGTCCACGATATCGTATAGCCCCCCATACAATGGTTCGGTATTTTAATGATTTCAGACACATTTTCTAATGGAATTGGCTTAAAATGTACACAAGGAGTTCTCTGTGAGTACTTAAATGGGTGATATAAATGTACACAAGGAGTTCCCTCTGAATACTTTACCCCCAGGAACAGAATTGTCTATATAGGACCACGATATCGCATAGCCCCCACACAATGGTGCCCTCATTGTATTTTGATGATTTTAGCCTGAAGTCTGAAAATCCACACAAGGAGTACCCTCTGAATACTTTACCCCCTGGAAGAGAATTGTCTATGTAGGTCTACGTTTAAGTATATCACCCATTTATCGCTACCCCGAGATATTCGGTATTTAAGGATTTTCGCGACATTATTCACAGGAATTGCGTCAAATTTCGTATTTGAATTCGTGATTGTCTATGCAGGTCTACGTCTTAGTATAGGCAACATACAACGGTAGCTCCCTTTATTCAGTGTTTTGGTGATATTAGCGACATTATTCACCGGAATTGCGTGAAATTTCGTATTTAAAATTCGGAATCGTTATCGTTATCCAGCACCACGTCTTCGTATAGCCCTACTATAAAGGTTTTCATATAAGCGGTATTTTTCAACGGTTTTTTGACATTGTTCAAGTGCCTTCCAAATGGTGGAGTGTATAAAAAGTTGGTCCCGGCCGAACTTAGCTGCTTCTTTACATATTTTAATTAATTTAGCTCGGTATATTAAAAATGAAAAACATACATACATGAAAAACAACATTTCCCTGCTACCTGTTTTCAAGAGGTTATCTGTTTGAAAAACCATTACTTTGGTATAATGCAACGAAGTTTCCGATTTCGTTCCATTTTCGGGAAATACAATTTTTTTTCATAAAAGAAGAATTATTTTAGAAAAAATATTTATAATTTCCTAAAATATATGGATTTTCAAGAAAATTTGTAGGCATTGCCTATGGAAACATTTTTGACATTTTATAAAAATCTATTTCATTCATCTCCTGGTATTTTATCTGATAGCTATTTTTATCGTACTCGATTTTAGTATCGTATAAATATTATGATGAGCAAAGTTTTCAACAAGTTGTGAGGTCCATGAACTTTTTCACATGCACTACTTACCCTTCCATCTTCAACCTGCCATTCGAAATAAAACTCATTGGAAAATAGAGTGATTCATTTTTATTTTTGTATTCTTTGTTGTTTTTGTTGTTGTATTATTGTGTTGTTTATAATTTGTTAAAGTTTTTGGTTTTGTGTTTCGTTTTATTAGAATTTTCAAAATTGTTATTATTACTTTTCAAAAGTATTGTTTGTTGTTGTTTAGTTAGTTGTGGTATTTATTAATTTAATATTTTTTTTTGGTTTTGTTAAATTGTCTGGCTTTTTTTATTGTTAATAATTTGTTAGTAAAAATCGAAAGCAAAACTGAATGCAGAAATTGTTGTTACCTTTTTGTTATCATATCGTTAATATTTTTTCTTTTGGTATGAATTTTGTTCTTTTTTAGTTTTATTATTTTTTTTGAGTAAGTTAGTTTTTTTGTTTGTTTCCTTTTTCTTTTCTTTTATTATTGCTTTATATTTAAATAGTTAAATGTGAAAAAATCTAGGTTAGGTTTGTTTTCTCATTTGATTTGATTTGATAGGATATTACAAAAGAAGTTTTCAACAACCCAAAATAATGCCAAATGTTTTATTTGAAAAGAAGCTTAGTAGTTGTGGGCAACATGATTATAGTTTTCAATGATTCGAGTGATCCGGCGATTATGTTGTAATTCTGAAACTGCGATTTCAAAAATTACATTAGAATATTAAATTTGAAATATGCATGTATTTGGAAAATTTGTATTTGGTTTAGTTTGTATTGACTTGACTATAAAGTATTGTTTTCTATTTTGTTGGCTTTTTTTATTAAATTTTTTGTTTATATTAGTCATTTTGTTGAGCAAAATCTTTTTATAAGACTTTTCCATATTTTTATTAATTTTTTCCTTTTTTTATATTACCTTTTATGTTTTTGTTGTAAAGAATTGTGGAAGTGTAGTGTGTGTGTTTTATTTTATAATTTGAAGGGAAAATGTTGAAATTGGAAGAAGGCTTATATAGTAGAATGCTGTAAAGTTTGTTAAGAATATCCATTTCAGATATTGGACATTATATAAACAACATAAATTCTGAATAAAAGTTTTGGAATACCGAAGGTATTTTTTGGTCTTGTGGTAGAAAACCCATTAGAAGTTGAAAAACAAAAATGAAATATTTAATATAATCATATACAGTTGGATACTATATGAGGAATATTTACAAGGAAATTTCTGTGGTCTTCACAAAGTATATACAAATTAAAATTGGTCGGATAAGATTTATGCAGGGTGAGATGAAAAAAAGGGAACCAACTTCAGACTGCTGTCATTTCTAAGCCTCTCGTCCGATAGCTGTTTAAATTATTCCAGTGACAGCTCATTATATTGTTTACAGGCGTACAAAGGCATTTTCGAGAGAATTTTCCAGAAAAAAGTTAATCGTGAAGGAATTCAAGCCTGATTTCTTTATATTTGGCTGGAAAACCACAAATGGCTATCGTTAGAGCACTCCAGCATTAAAATGTGAAAAAATCGTTTATGTTTCGTACCATCGCTCGTTATCGTGAGGAAGTGGGCTGAAGAAAATAGCAACATCAGCAGAAATGGTTCGAAAAGTAAAAAAGGGACTTTATCGAAGCCCTCGTCACAGCGACCGAAAAATGGCTCGCAATATTCCATTCGGCAAATATTGAAAAATGAGCTCGGGGTAAAGCCGTTAAAATTCCAAAAAAGTGCAAGAACTTACACCGCAACAGAAAGAAAATAGACTCAAAAGAGCTAAAGAGTTGCTTCGCATGCCGAAAGTGGTAAACTGCCGAATTTGGTTTTCTCCGATGAGAAAACATTCCTTGTCCAGCAGTTTGTAAACAAACAAAATGATCGTGTTTACTTTCCAAAGAGGTCAGCTGAAAATGTGCACCTTCTGTTGACCACCAGAACTCAAGCGCCGGCCAAGCTTGTTGTTGTTGTAGCAGCTCATACATCTGTGTTCGTTCGGTTTCCATTTTTCTGACTCCATTCAATCAGGTTCTGCCTCTAAGTCCAGTTTCAAAAAGGATGCAACCTGGATGCGTTGTGTCCATAACGAGACTGGAGTTAGGTGAGTAGGCTTGGCTGGGCAGCGAAATAGGTGCAGCGTGTCATGTGGGTCTGTGCCACAAGCTGGGCAGATGTTGTAATACATGTTCGTGTTCGGCCGGCCATGGTGATGGTGTGGGCCGCCATAACAGCCGATGGTCGCTCTCCGCTCGTATTAATCCACCGTGGCATCAGAATAAATGCCGAATATTATCGCGTAAATGTTCTGGAGGGTGTATGAAAGCCTTGGGCACGCAAACATATGGCCGCAGACCTTAGACATTGTTCCTCTCTTCCTTTTCAGGTTCCTCCCCAGCTAGCATTTGGAAGATTGTTTTTGAAAAAACCACTTCGGTGAGTCTATTTCGAGTCCTTTTGGTGATCAAAAAATGATTAACTCACGTATACGATCGAAAAGCGACTCGAAAATGACTCTCTTTAATGAGTAAAAAGAGGTCAACCAAAATACAACAACAAAATGTAGGGGAATCGCAAATCAATCATTGAGATGTGCAAAATGTGACCATTTTTTTCCGTTATTTATTATCATATTGCGATCATGTACAGATTGAAAAATGATTAGTCTTAAAAAGATCATGCAGTTGTTTGAAAAGTGATTATACCCAGCTTGTACATGAAAATTGTTTTTAAAAAAATCACTTCGCAGAATCTTCTTCGAGTCCTTTTGGTGATCAAAAAATGATTAACTCACCTGTACGATCGCAAAACGACTCGAATGTGACCCCCCTTAATGAGTAAAAAGAGTTCATTTAATTTTATAAAAAAAATGTATGGTAATCAAAAATCAATCATTGGGATGTGCAAAATGTGACTGTTTTTCCGTTATTTATTATCATATTGCAATCATGTACAGATTGAAAAATGATTAGTCTTAAAAAGATCATGCAGCTGTTTGAAAAGTGATCGTATTGATGTATTTTTTATCATATTTCGCACAGACAAGTGCTTAAATGCTGCTTGTTTTTCTATGCATAACGGGTCATTTTGTTGCGTTTCTGGAGTGGCTATAAAAAAGTTGACTTTTTGGTCATTTATAAAAAGTGCGTGGAAGCGTCAACAGCAAAAGTGTTAAATATTAAAAAGTGATAAAAAAAATATTAAAAAGTGTACGCTTATCTATTTGTTTGTTTATTTATTTATTGTTTTTATAAAAAAAAAATGTCAGCAAGCCAATTTAAAAAAAATAGAAAAGGCTAAAATAAAAAGGATGGCAAAAAATGAATTGGTGCAGCAAAATGAAACGATACTTAAACAATTTGTAAGTATACAAAATTGGGTCTTTGATTGATTAATTCACTACTTTGCAATATATTAATACTTATATAATTTTTGATAATCTATTTCCAGAAAGAATTTATTGCAAAAACCGGCGGTGAAGGACCCCCCAATTCCTTCGGGCTGCCGTTCGAAAGATTTTTTCTGACAATTTAGCCTGCCAATACAGCTGGAAGTGCACCAGTGTAAAGCCAAGTGCAGAAAAGTGTTATTTAGTGACAGTAATCGAAAGTAAGTTTGTGTTTTTAACACGTATATAAAGAATTAGTAAAATGGACAGACTTGTACATATTTAATTTCAGATATTTGTCATCTAAAATACACAAGTAACGACAAGGATATGAACACGATCCTTCAGAAACATTTTGTTCACGCTCGAGACCGGGTTACAAAAAGAAAACGATCAGATTGAAGTTCCTGATTTTTTTATTTTTTTTTTTTGGTTTTTCTTTTTTTATTTAATTTTTTACTATATTTTTTACCACTAGCATTTACTAAAATACACCTGAAAATGAACTAGTACAAATTATAATTATAAAAGTTGAATTATTTTTATTTTAAATAAACTATTTTATAAACAAATATAAACAAATTCTTTTTTTTACGGTACATCCCAATATTTAGAAATCACGTACGAGATTCGTAGGATCGTAAACACTCATATAGGACTCATAAATGACTCGAATTGAAGACAAAGGCGACTTAAAAAAGACTCGTAAATGAATATAAATATGAGTGACATATGACACTTAAAAGACTAATAAATGACTCACTAAGGACTCATAAATGATCAAAAAATGAGTTAAAAAAGACTCGAAAAAGATTCACAAATTAAAAGTTTTAGCACAATAAATGATTAAAAAACGATTCGAAAACGACTCTTAGAACGATCAGAAAATGGTCGAAAAAGACTCTTAACTAATCTAGAGGAAGACTCATATGTGATTTATTAAGAAGATTCGCGGGAGGTCACGTTTTTCTCCCGACAAATGTGTCTTTTATGATCAGAAAATGCGCGCATATTCCACATTTTTAATCGCGCGACCGGATCAAAAAAGACTCGATTGTGATTAAAAATTTCAAAAAATGCTGACTGGGTCTTTTCCTTTTCAGTGCGCAATGGCCACCAAAATCTTCGGATACCAATCCGTTGGACTATTGTGTGTGGAGTATTTTGGAAAGCAAGTTTGACACTAAAAAATACCAGAGTGACGATCACCTCAAGCAAGCACTTCACCGGGAATGGGCCAAAATACCGCAGAGCAACATTCGGGTAGCGTGTGACGGTTTCATTGGCCGTTTGAAGGCCATAATTCGTGCCAAAGGTGGCCAGTTTGAACAAATCTAAAGTTATTCTAAATTTTGATGCTATTTCCATTTTTTGCTTTCATTCAATAAAATTTAAAAAAAAAGATTTTTTTATCTCACCCTGTATTTGCTACCAGATAAATTTTTAGACCTCTTTTAATGCTAACCTTCAACACATTTTTTTATTTTATAAGTTCGTTTTATTTTTGAAACTTTCTTCTTTACGGAAGAAGACATTAGATCGGACGAAAAATAACCGAATGGAGTAACTCAAACAAAAAACCACGAATAAATGCTAGTGAAAACCACATCTAAGTTTTTCAGCTGATTGAGAGTTGCTTAATACATTCTATTTATTTTTGGTGTTTTCATTTTATATATTATTGTAGAATATAAAAAAGTTTTAAGTTCAGTTTGCTAAATTTTTATTCGTGTGTGGAACTTAGATTATCTATTCTATACTTTTACCAACTCTGTGAGTGCAATTAATTTAATTGTACATTCTACTTCGACATTAGAGAAATATATTATTTTTTTAGTTTATATAAAAGGTCAATAGTATAGATATTTAAGTGTATTATACACGGGAAAATAAATATTTGAAATTTTGGAAAAAGAGAAATGATTGAGTCCTCTGAAGTTGTGTATCGGCAAAAATGTTGAAAGAATTAAAAGAACATTGAATCACATAGAAGGTAACAGAAAAAGGCTCTAAACCCAAAGAAATTGGAATGTTATAACTATACAGAATACCTAAATGTGTCGCTCAAAAACGATATTGACTGGTAGAGAAGCTGAACTCTTCGAAGTCCGTATTGGGAATATGAGTACAATCCGATGGCGATTGATATGCAATGTGGTAAGTATAAATGGAAATAACATAATATTTCAATCTCCATAATTCATATAACCATTGTTTTGCAGGAGAACAATCGATGCTTGTGGAAATAACCCTTGCGAGAGGAAGCTGAGGCGACGCAAAGGAATTATAATGTTCATATGAGTGACACTAAATATTTTAAATTGCGTTCACTGGGAATGGAAGATACATGACTAACACTTATATACGGAAATCTTTTATCACCAAAGTATCTAGTCAATGGTTAAAATCTACCAAATGCAGTGACTGAAACTCTGTTTTTTGAAATCTTCAATTGCAAAAACCGAGAAATCGAGAAATAAGATTAAAAAGGGGCCCCTCGAATGCTGAGGAATGAAGGTGGAAAGGCGTATACACACAGCATAATGTTGAAATATGCAAGACTGAAAGATAAATGGCTAATATCCTTAGCTTTAACAAATAAAAAATATATAAGTTCAGCTGGTCTGAGCTTTGAATTCCCTCCACCATTTGGAATTAAATTGACAATTTTCAAAGAAATAAAATCCGTTAAAAATTCTGTTAATATCTTAAAAATACCGAATGCAGCCGTTATATTAGGGTCTATACTACGATGTGGATCTGTGGATAATGTCGCTAAAAACATCAAAATACCTAATATCGGTAGGTGCCGTTATATAGGGGCTGTACGAAGGCGTGGTCCTGCACGGACAATTTTCTGTCATAGGGCGTAGTATCCATTAAAAAGTTCAAATAGCAAATTTGAATTCTTTTCCGATGAATAATGTCGCGTAAATCACCAAAATACCTAAATTAGTGAGGTTCTATGGGGGCTATACCAAAACGTGGCCCATATATGGCCCATTTTTCAATACCAGCAGTCCTACATTTGAGTAAAATTTTATGAACCTACTTCATTTCGTTTGGAAGCTAGAGTGATTTCCACCAGCACCAGATTAGAAATACTTAAACGGTGATAAATCGTTAGGACCTTGGCATTACCAAATAATGGATGTCAGGGCTAGCCGCTTAGAAACACAATTTAGTTTACAGCAATCCATCCTCGGTCTGTTCGACATATTGAATGCTTCATAATTTTTTGGTAAATGTCCAATATAATTCCTTATTTCTGCATCGTATTAAAATTTAAATACCATAAATGTGGTTCAATTATGCATGAGCTGATACTACCCATCGAGAGGTAAGATTGACCTTACTCCCTACGATAGGATTATATTACTTGGCACTATTCGGGACGGATTTTTGGTTATATCACTGAGATTTATATCGAAAACCCTGCATTACGCTATGCTCACAGTACTATGCCTTTCTGAAAATACGATGGGTCTAGTTAAGGAAGGATGTTGCCAACTGAACACTTTAAGGACTAGATCGAAACAATATGTTCCTATTATCAACAGGGTCTGTTCCCTGTAGAAATAATGAAAGCCTCTGTTAGAAGACGTTAATTGCTTTTCAAACAGCCTTTTATGGATCGAAATTGATTTTGAATTGAATTTAGAACTTGGAGGCATCTATAGCTATTTTTGACTTCGGAGAAGCTCATTGAAGCTCAGCTTTAACTAAGTTCCATATCTTTGATGTCATGAATTGTTAATGATGGAACTATCTGCCTTCCTCAGGAACATTATGCCTTTGCCATTTGGGGGCACCCGACAACAAGTAGATATGTTTATATTGCGTGGCCTATTTCCCTAATATAATTTACAAATAGGGTTTTCGATCCGAACAATGTTTTGTCAAATTCTATGAGTTGGTCTTTCAGCACACCTATGTTATTTTCTTAACTATTTCAAAAAAGATAATGTTATCGTATGTCATACGTAGACAATTTTACAAAAAATTGGTCTTCCTTCTGAAGGTAACTCTAAGCCAAAGTACTGTTTTTCTTTATCGATCTGATAACAATAAATCATTTTCTTGATCTAAAACATTTTTGAAGAATATATGACATTGCTAGTTGGAAAATAATTTCTGGAAGATTTAAAAAAAAAAAATATTGGACTCAAAGAATTCTAATTTTAAAAATGGAGAAATTGTTTTAAAAGTAAATTGCCAGAGGGAAGACAAGATAGTAGCTACACACAATGTTTCGAAACGAACACATCAATGGAGAAATATTAATTTACAAAGAAATAGAAATGCAGTAGTTAGGTGTAGTGGCATTAGTCAAAAAGTATTGGTATTTGTGTTATTACATTTTAAAATGGTTTTTTTTTGTTTTACTAAAAAATTAATTGTTCAATGAACGTACATTTGATTTAAATATATTTTTGAAATTTTTAATTGCAATATTATTGGCAAATATTTTACAACATGTGTGTTAGTTTATTAATTTCTATGTGTGTGTATGGGTGTCTGGTTGTGGCTCAAATGTTGTTAAAGTACAAATGGGATAATTTGCATAATTCATTTGCTTGTTGTTGTTGTAGTCCTCGTTATTATATATTGTTAATTTTATTATAATAATTTACATGAAATCACAGTCCGTATGTGAGAATTTTTATTATTATTATTTTTTGTTTTTAATTTTTATGATTTTCTTTGTGGTTTTGCTTGAGATGGTGTTACGCTTGTTAATTAAATTAATTAATTAATTATTTATGATATAACTACGATATTTGTTGTAATGATTGAACGTAGAATGTATTTTTGTTATTACATTTTTATGTCAAAAATTAAGCTACGATCTTTCTGATTTTTTTGGTATTTTACATTAGAAATTTTTTATATGTTTATCTCCAAAACAAGGCATTTTTTATTTTATTTATTTGTTTAATTTCTAATTCCGAAAGATTTTTGTATTATTATTTTTTATCTTTTCTAAGCATAGCACTTTGTTTTTATTGGAATTAATTATTTTTGTTAGTAATTGAAATTATTTTAATTTGCTATTTTTTGATGAATTGTTTGCTTTCCTTAAGATAAATAAGAACGAGTCAAAAAAATAAATAATTAAAGATTTATATTCAGCAATTTCCGTAGCTTTTTATTGGTTGCGAATCAAAAGTGATAACTTTGATGATTTTTGGAAAAAGATCAACATTAATGGAACTGCGTCATAAAGTTAGCGTCAAGCAAAATTAAATAAATGTTTATATTAAAACGATTTGAAAATCTGTATAAAAAATTGCCACAATTTTTGTCAAGAACGGTGAATGTTGGCAATTTTGGGTAGAGAAATAAACATTGAATTGGCTGCTGAGGTCCTATGACCTGTATTTGTGGCACATCTTACCTTAATTCATACTGCGATTCTTATACAGGGTGAGATGAAAAAAAACTGCAACCAACTTCAGAATGCTGTCATTTCTAAGTCACTCGTCCGACAGCTGTTAAAATTATTCTAGTGACAGGTTATTATATTGTTTATAAGCGTACAAAAGCATTTTGGTGAGAATTTTCCAGAAAAATATTATTCGTGATGGAATTCAATATATTTGTCTGGAAAACCACAAGTGCCTATCGTTAGAGCACTCCAGCATTTAAATGTGAATAAATCTTTTGTGTCTCGTACCATTGTTCGTTACCGTGATACTGGTAGCGTAACCCGACGTCAAGGAAGTGGACGGAAGAAAACAACAACATCAGCAGAAATGGTTCGAAAAGTAAAGAAGAGACTTGATCGAAACCCACGTCACAGTGGCCGAAAAATGGCTCCTGAGCTGAACATATCGCAATATTCCATTCGGCAAATATTGAAAAATGAGCTCGGGGTAAAGCCATTGAAATTCCAAAAAGTGCAAGAACTTGCACTGCAACAGAAAGAAAAAGATCTAAAGAGTTGCTTCGCTTGGCGGAAAGTGGTGAACTGCCGAATTTGGTTTTCTCCGCTCCGATGAAAAAACATTAATTGTCCAGCAGTTTGTAAACAAACAAAATGATCGTGTTTACTTGCCAAAGAGGTCAGCTGAAAATGTGCACCTTGGGTTGGCCACTAGAACTCAAGCGCCGGCCATGGTGATGGTGTGGGCCGCCAAAAGAGCCGATGGTAGATCTCCGCTCGTATTAATCGACCCTGGCATAAGAATAAATGCCGAATATTATCGCGAAAATATTCTGAAGGATGTATTAAAGCCTTGGGAACGCAAACATTTTGGTTGAGGTTCCTCGCTTCATTTCCAGCGCACAATGGCTACCAAAATCTCCGGATACCAATCCGTTGGACTATTGTGTCTGGAGTATTTTGGAAAGCAAGCTTGGCACTAAAAAATACCAAAGTGTCGATCACCTCAAGCAAGTGCTTCGCCGGGAATGGACCAAAATACCGCAGAGCAACATTCGGGCAGCGTGTGACGGTTTCATTTGCCGTTTGAAGGCCATAATTCGTGCCAAAGGTGACCAATTCGAACAGATCTTAACTTATTCTAAAATTTGATGCTATTTCCGACATTTTTTACTTTCATTCAATAAAATTTAAAAAAAATTTAAAAATTATGGCATTTGACTTTGCTGCAGATGGGAAGTAGGGAAAGATGACGTATGTTAGAACATTGCGGAAAATGGAATGGGAATGTTACGTTAAATTTCATCATCCTATATTTTTTCCAAGAATTTTATTTATAGATTCACTTCGAAATAAATATAATATTAATAAATTTTAGATTTATGTAAAATAAAAAGAAAAAATAAATGTTTTAATTTTTATTATTTTTTTTTTAATTTTTTATTAGGATTTTTTTATGTTAATTTGCCTAGTTGTTATATTTGAAGTTATACAATTGCAGTATTTGTTGTTCTTGTTATAATAATTATTTTTTTTGCTTTAACTTACTTAGCTACAAAAAAGTTGTATGTTTTTTCTTCTTGATTTTCCTTTTTATTAGATAAATAATTTTTTATTGGGGCTTTTTGTTGTTATTTTTTTAAATTAATTTTATTTTTCAAGTTTGTAATTTAGTTACTTTTAAAGCTTAAAGAGAATATAATTCCAGTATTTGTTTTTTTTTGTTTATATAAGTTTTATATATTTTTTGAAGTTATTTGTTTTATTTTTTTGGTTGTCTAAATTTTTAAAGAATCCTTTTTTCTTATTTTCGATTTTTTATTTCATTTTTTCTTTTTTCAATAATAAAAAAACGAATCATAAGCACTTTTTTGTTGTAAGTTTTTCTTACCTTTTTTTTGGGATTTTTATAATTTTTTTTTTAATTTTATTAAATTTTAATCACTACAGATTGTGTTTTTTTTCTCTGAATATAAGTTTATTTTTAGGTTTTCTCTGTGAATATTAACTAGTTATATAGTTTGGGAAAGACCATAGAAGTGTTTTATTTTGATCTGAACAAATGGCTGACTTTCGGGTCGCCACTGTTCTAGGAAGAAATAAGGACCAGTGGGGAGGGGGAGGGTGGAGGAGAGCAGGTAGGGAGGTAGAAAAAACTCCTCTTTGCTTTAGAAGGCCATACTCGTTCGTCGGCCACCCACACCGGGTCCGGCACGAAATGCCCCTCCACCACCACCGCCACCACGTGGAAGACCGCCATGCGAAACACTGCGTCCCATACGAGTCTCACTACCACGACGCTCACGCGCTTTACGCAGCAAATCCGAGGTACTCGGACGACGACTGGTGCTTGCCGAGGAGCAAACACTGCGTTTACTGCCGGACATAATGTCCGATGTCGAAGAACGTCTGACATTTTGCGACGACGAGGCAAATGCATGAGGCGACAGAAAGTACGGTGACGGAGAACTTGCCTGTGAACGCGACATTTCGTAGCGATGATGTGAGGCGGATGATGGCTGTTGCAAATACTGGTTCGAACCACCGCCGCTGCCGCCGGTGAGGTGTATCAGCTGGCTGCTGGACCGGTTGTCATCGTTCGAACTGTTGCGACGTGTCGAGTATGGGGATTGGGGATAATCGATGAGGAGATTTTCCGATTCCTCATTGTCCACCGATTCGATCTTCAAATAGGGCGGCATGCGATTGTAGGGCTGATGGATGTGATGATGATGATGGTGGTAATACTGGTCGCTTAGGTTCAGCTCGCTGCCGTTGGCATTGTAGCCACCGCCAGCCAGGCCAACACCGCTGCCACTAACGTCCTCAGCATTATCACCACCACTGCTGCCACCGCCTCCACTGCCACTACCCTTGGTGGGCGCCAACAGATTTGTGGACTGGGAATTGGTCTTGTTCTGGCCAGAGCTACCGTTGCGTAAACCACTGTACAAGGATTTAATGTGAAAGTCGAGGGAACGAAAATTCAACAGGGATCGTTTTTTGGGTATTTTGGCTGGCTCGGGTTGTGGTAGTGGCGGTGCTTCAACATCGCCGTTGTTGTTGTTGTTCATCTGACGGAAACCTCCAGAATTTCCGTTGATTAGATCATGTTCCAAATTGTTGTTGTTCAGTGTGTCAATTTGTATGGTGTTTGTTGTTGTTGTGGTCGTTCCTGTTATCGTCAGGCTATCCAGACGATTTGACATTGCCGTTGTTGTTGCTGTTGTTTTATTATTATCCAAACTATACGAAATATTTTGAGAAAAACGCTGTTGCTGATACTGCTGTTGCTGCTGTTGTAATTGTAACTGTTGTTGTTGCTGTTGTTGCTGTTGCTGCTGTTGTTGTTGTAATTGTAAATCATGTTTACTTATTGTTGTTGTCATTGTTGTACTACTTAGACTAGTTTTACTACTAATTGCTTTAATAAATTTATTATCAATATCTAAAGACTCCTTTCGTCACTGAATAACGCAAAAGCCCTGCTTAGAGGCATCCTTTGCATCGCCGTCTTCACCACAAAACGCCGAGACCTCATCGTTTTTGGGTGACTCTTGCCCACAGGGTCCCATGCCGCTGCTGCCGCCGGCGACACCGCCACTAAGGCTTGGGGGCCCCTGAGGGCAGGCTGATTGTCACCGAAGTGCCAGTGTCGATATCATCGGCGGTCGCACCGGTTTATTCTCTAATATTCGTTCCAATTCTAGCATAACACTGGTCGACAGACGTGGCAGTAACTGTAAATGAAAAGAGGAAAAGTATCGATAATTAGATTAATCGAAGAAAATTATGGGGAAAAAGAGAAATTTCAGGACTCAAGTTATATCCATTCACTCAACGGTGAATTTAGTACCATTTAGTACTTTTTGAACAATCATAGTACGCATTCCCGAAACCATCTCCTTCTCTCTACCCTAGACACCAACAGTGACCTCAATATCAAATTTTGGAGATCCACCTCTATCCCATCAGCCAACAACCCATTTTGGGGCATTTTGCACTTTTCGTTCGTTCATAGTACACATTTCCAGAACTACTTTTAACTCTCACAGACACCATATCAAATTTTTAGAGTATTCAGTATTTAGTACCTTTAAGTACTTTTTTCCTTCACCCAATACAAAAATTTAGGACGCATTTCTAAACCACCGCCAAATTTTAAACACAGATACCATTAGTAATCTAAATATCAAAATTTCAGAATTGTACATCTATCCCTTCATCCAACACCAAATATATTACCATTCAGTACTTTTCGTACAATTATAGTACACATTTCCGGAACCATCTCCATATATCAAGGCTACACATGAACGGCGACCCTATTACCAAATTTCAGATTTTAAACACTATATTTTTGCCTAATACTAAATTCTACCAAGTATAGTACCATTTGGTACTTTTCGTCCACTTATAGCATGTATATATTTCAAAACTAACTTCGGAAACTCAATCCCAAACACCAACAGAGACCTCAATATAAAATTTCGGGATTCCAGCTACAACCCTTCGCCTAGTACCCAATTCAGTACTATTTAGTAGTTTTCGTGCACTTGTAGTACACATTTCAAAACCCACCTCTTTATCACAAATCTTCCACCAACAGGGACCGCAATACTAAATTTCAAGTTCTCCTAGATCAAGCTGTTCGAAATTAAGTACCATTTAGTACAGTTTGCAAATTTAGTCCTCATCTCAAAAAAACACCACCACACTCTGCATGTTCGTCGAATACAAAGGGAGTCATTTTTTGTACTTTCCGTGCCGTTTCAGTACGAATTTTCAAAAGCCCAGCCTTATCTGACACCTTCGGAACATGAGTGACCCTCACCCAGATCAAGATTTTAGCTTCAGCAGTTTCATCAGGGCTTTGATGGATCAAAAATAAACGTGAAATCGGATGAAGACACATATAGGAACTATGTCTAAATCTGGACTTCAAAATTTTAAATAACCATAAAGCTTATAAAACGCGAAACGAGCATCCGATCACTTTCCAACTCAATACATCCCAATATTTTTATACCCTCCACCTTGGAAAGGAGGGTATATTAACTTTGTCATTCCGTTTGTAACATCCCTAAATATTCGTTTTAGACCCCATAAAGTATATATATTCATAATCAGCATAAAATTCTAATCGATTTAACGATGTCCGTCTGTCTGTCTGTCCGTCTGTCTGTCTGTCCGTCTGTCTGTCTGTCTGTCTGTCCGTCTGTCTGTCTGTCTGTTGAAATCACGATACAGCCCACATTATTTGACGTAGAGCTCCAAAATTTAGCAGAGCTATTTGCATTGTGTCTAGGATGGTTGGTATTGAAAATGAGATATATCGGTCCACGTTCTGGTATAGTCCCCATATAACGGTACCTCCCGATATTCGGTATTTTGATGATTTATGCCACATTTTTTCACGGATTTGTCTTAAAATTGGTATTTGTAGGTCATAGCGGGTCCCTGAGCGTGTAGCAAAACATTACATGTATAGGTCCACGTTGTGGTATAGCCCCAATATAAAGGTACCTCCCGATATTTAGTATTTTAGTTTTTTTTTACCACATTTTTTCACCGATTTGTCTAAAAATTGGTATTTGTGGGTCATAATGGTTTCCAGCTCCGGTGGCGAAACATTGCATGTATGGGTCCATAATTTGGTATAGTCCCCATATAACGGTACCTCCCGATATTCGGTACTTTGATGATTTATGCCACATTTTTTCACGGATTTGTCTTAAAATTGGTATTTGTAGGTCATAGCGGGTCCCTGAGCGTGTGGCAAAATATTGCATGTATAGGTCCACGTTATGGTATAGCCCCCATATAAAGGTACCTCCCGATATTTAGTATTTTAGTTTTTTTACCACATTTTTTCACGGATTTGTCTGAAAATCGGTATTTGTTGGTCATAATGGGTTCCAGCTCCGGTGGCGAAACATTGTAATTATAGGTCCACGTTTTGGTATAGCCCCCATATAACGGTACCTCCCCATAATCGGCATTTTAATGGTTTTTGCCACATTTTTTCTAATGTTTCTTTTACCCTAAGGTGGAGGGTATTAAAAGTTTGGCCCGGCCGAACTTCATGTTTTTTTACTTGTTTATCAACAAAATATTAGGTATGAAAATGGGATATATAGGACCACACCTTCTGGTACCTTTCTCACAACGGGTTGATATTTTGAATATTTATGACTCTTAGAATATGCATCTGATACTTTCTCAAATTTCGCGTATTCCAATATTTTTACTAACACTAGATCTACTGTGAAGATAATATAAATCGGTCTTCCCCTTCTGGGTCCTCTCCCACAAAGAGCCACAATTTTCAATATTTATATCCCTCATAACTTGCGAAACAATTCGGCGGTTGTTTTTAAACTACATATTTTTTAACAAAAGATATGGGATTTATCGATGCACACCTTCTCGCACCTCTCGCACAGAAGGTTAAAATTATAATTAACAATTATTCCAAAAAAAAAAAAAATGGTAATAAATGTCTGATTTTCTTGAAATTTTGCACATCCCAATATTTTTTATCATGATGTGAAATACATTGGTCCACTATATCTGGTACCTCCTAAACAGTCATAGCTGAGCGTATGCATCTGTCGGCAAAACCGACTGATACTTTTTATTTAGTTCATTTGCAATTCTATATCAACAGTTCCGTGCAAACTCTCATTACTTACCTGTAATGATTGCAAACTTTGATGCAATTGTTCAGCAGAAGTGGCACCTAAAAGTAAACACTGTACAGGTTCATGTTTCAGCGACCAGGCAATGGACAGCTGGGATGGTGTGCAACCCAGTTTTTCGGCCAATGCGGCTAAATCCTTTAAACGATCACAATGGCGGCGACCCTCTTCCATGCGTTCCTTATTCCAACTACCCTGAGGCGATAAGGCAGCCTAGAAGAACAAAAAGTTATAATATCTTAATTCGATTGTTTTCCTCACTGTAAAACTTACATTCCGATTGACTTCATCTTCAGTCCACGAATAGCTATGGCTTTTGGTTTTAAATGAGCCCTTTGGCAGAAAGATTTTTTCACCATTTTGTGCATCACTCAAGGCCATCGACAGTGGGCCCCAGGCCATGAGACCGACACCGATTTTGTTATACATTTCCGGCAGATAAAGCTCGCATTTCTCACGGCAAAACATGTGGTATTCGGACTGTTCCACAATCGGTGTTATGCAATTAAACTGACGGCAGTTTGTGTAGGCCTCCATGATTTCCACCTGAGACCAACGGGCAGTGCCCCAATACATGGCCCAGCCCTGTTGGATGACATAGTTCATGGCACGTACAACTTCTACACAAGGGTAGGGAAAAAATGTAAAAAAATATAAGAAAATACAAAAAATGTTATTTCATTTCGTATAATTAGAATTTTGGTAGTTTGGGGTTTATTTTATTTTTTTTTTTGGGTTTGGATTTTGTTGGGAGAATCGTACCTTCCATTGGACACATAGCATCCGCTTTATGTATGATCACAATATCAATGTATTGCAATTGCAAACGTTGTAAGCTTGCTTTTACGGATTCTATAATATGCTTTCGTGAAAGGCCACGTTCCTCTGATCTGTAAAAAGATGTCATAGAAAACAAGTGCAAAGATGAATTAAGTGATTGTTTATTGTTATTGGGTGATGAGAGCGTGCGGAGAATGGAAAAAATGTATGTAAATTAAATTACCTTAGAAACTACAAAACTAGACTAAAGATAATTTAATTTAGAGTGGGTGCAGTGATGTGACTTGACTACTTTTTTATGATTTAATTTATTCTAATAAACTTAAACTTAAACTATTTCCAATTTTTATAGAATCAATTTCAAAGAAGGAATATTTCGATCTACTACTGCTCCCCAGGTTAATGTACAGCATTCCACAAAAGTCTGAAAAGTAATACGAGTTGGTAATGAATTCATTCATCGTGCGTGCCATTCGTATTAGGTTGTCACCAAAATGTAAGGCGGATTATATTCACGAATCCTAAAGGGTTACATTTTCAAATCATAAATCTTATAAAAAGCGAAGAATGTCTAACGATTTATTCCAAATTTGGCACGTCGTAATATTTCCATCCATATTACACCAATTGTGAATATGGATTGCGTGGGTCCACTAGAAAATATACCCATAAATTTTACTATAGTAAATGGTTCATAGCAACTGGTTCAAACTTTCCAAATATTTATATTTCTATTAAGTCTAAATCAAATTCGAAGATACACAATGACTCCTTGTTGAAAAGGTGTGTCAAATTTAAAATTTGGCAGGCTACCTACCTGCCTCTTATATATCGTACTAAATTTTCAAATTTTGAAGGTCTTATACTTAATTCAAGTTTTCCCTTTATTTCTGAAGTTTACATAGAAAAAAAATATTAGTAAAACCATTGCACGACGTGGGTCCAATTTTTCTGTCCAAACCTATTTCAACGTCTCCATATTTAAACCCTAGAAACCAACATATCAGAATTTAGTATTTAGTACCTATATCTACAACAGTCTATACCCTAGATAACAACAGTGATCCAAAATAAGTAGCATTTAAACCACCTAGATATACCAAATTATGGGATTCAAGCACTATTCCTACACCAAATTCCAAATTTAGTACCATTTCGTACAAATGCAGGACGCATTTCCAAACCACCGCCAAATCACTGCCAAACCTCAGATACAAATACCAACAGTGGCATCCACATCAAATTTCAGGATTTCAACCTATCCCTTCACTCAATACCAAATTAAATACCATTTAGTGCTTTTCGTAAAAATATAGGACGCATTTCCCAAACCACCTCCATATCTTAATACCAGATACCAACAGAGACCTCAATGTCAAATTTCGAAAATCCTTCACCCAATACCAAATTTAGTACCATTACAAAAATTAGCACACATTTCCAAAACCACCTCCTTATCTTAACCACAGACAGCAACACTTATCAAATTTCAAGAATTCAGGCTCTATTCTTTTACCGAATACCAAACTTATTACTATTTAATACCCAATTTGGTTCCACACAGACCTTTTTGCACAATTGTGCTACACATTTCCAAACCCACCACAAAATCTCAATCCAAGATACCACAGAGACCACAATTGCAAATTTCGGTATTCCAGCTCTATTCCTTCACTCAATGCCAAATATAGTACCATTTGGTACTTTTCGTGCAAATATAGTACACATTTCCAAATTCCTTTCATATCTTAATTCCAGATTCCAACAGAGACTCTATATCGAATTTCAAGATTTCCTCTCTATATCCCTTCTCCCAATACTAAATTTAGTACCATTTAGTACTTTTTGTGTAAATAAAGGACGCGTTTCCAAACCACCGCAAAATCTCAAACATAGATTCCATCAGTAATTTAAATATCAAATTTTACAATTTTATCTCTATCCCTTCTTCCAATACCAAATTTTGTACCATTTAGTATTTTTTGTGCAAATATAGGACGCAGACACCAACAGTGGCATCTATATGAAATTTCAGGATTTTAGCTTAATTTCTTCACCCAATACCAATTATAGTACTATTTTGTAATTTTTGGACAATAATAGTACGTATTTTCAATACCACCCCCATACCTTAACTACAGACACCAAATTTCAGGATTTCCGTTTCGTCTAGGCATTAATTCTCAGTCAGTCAGTCAGTCAGTCAGTTATTTCACAAATATTTATTTTTTATTCATTTTCTTTTATCCACATTTTACTTATTTTCCTACTGTTTTCATTTCATTACCCTATCATTGCTCTATTGCTTTTAGGCATATATTTTCTATTTTCATTCACTGAAATATATTTTTTATTAATATTTCTCACGCGTTCGTCCTGGCAACCGAACAACTAAATCATAAAATTATTGAAAAATATGTGCAAATAAATCAAAACTTTCTCTACTTACTTGGTACTCCAATAGACTTTCGTGGTGATGACATAGGCAGTCCTCTTCCAGCCGGTTCTCTGTAAAATTTTACCAATTTCCGTTTCCGAATGGGCCTCCGATATATCGAAGAGATTTATACCGCTTTCAATGGCCAGCTTAAGTATGGCTTCGGCTTGTTCTTCGCTGACACCCGGTGAAAAGACCGGCCATGTACCTAAGCCTACATTGCTGACCCTCAGACCGCTCTTACCCAGATTCTTGTAGCGTAAGCCGGGCGTTGGTGTTGAGCCCGGCCGCAGCGGTAGAGCTGGATTTGAGCCCAAACTCAGAGAACGGCCTGATATCGGTGATAATGTTGTTGTCGGCAGGGGAATGGTAAGAAACATTTTTCCAAATCAGTTAATTTCATAAAAAATTGAGTTTTTTCGTAACGAGAAACACAAAAATTTCCAACATCAACACAATAAATTGAAGCCGAAAACAATTTGCTTCAATTCTCTAACGTGCGTCTAAGACAAGAACAAGAAGAAAAATAACAACCAAACAAAATGCGTAAGCAACTAAAAACAAACTCAAAAAGGAAATCTATTGCGGGGTCGCTAGTTGTTGTATTTTATTCGGGAAAGAAAGTGTTGTTGTTTTTTTTTGGTTTTCTTTTGCTTGTTTTTTTTTTTTTGTTTTGTTATAAGTATGTGTTTGCGTTTTTTGGTTCGATTAAAATTAGTCAATTTCAATTATGGTAAAAGTAGGAAGAAAATGAGAAAAAAATCGAAATAAGACGAAGTACAGTAGTTACTTGATAAGGGGAATTTTGTCTTGATTTTAATTATAGCTGAGGGCCTCTATTATTGGTGCGTAGCATTGGTGTACAGTGTTATTTATTTCTTTAAGATTCGAAGAAAAACCAGCTTATAAGCATATTTCTATCCAAATTTGTTCCAAAAAATCCTTTTGTCCATGGCCTATTTTCAACTCTTAGAAAAATCTTTGCTTAGAAAACTTGAAATCCTCATCTAGCAAGAATAACGATTCGATTCGGTTCGCTTTCTTGGTGAGGTTATTGGCGGCGATTGTGAAGTTGGATTTCACTTGATTGTGCTTAATGTCCAAAATATTGGTTTACCGGTCTCTTCACTAATACCTCAGACTGTTGGTATCAGTAACGAAGCAAATTACAAAATTGCAGGTAGCTTCTGAGTCTTTTTGGTCTAGCTTTATTTATACTGTAAGCCATAATGGTTACAGAGGGTATATATCATTTAATACGGCCCAAATGTGTCTCATCGAATTAAGGGTGTTAGACTATTGGTCCCTTTGGACAAAGTCCATATCAGGACATTTGGAGTCGATCTAGCGCTGTTCGTCCGTCCGTCTGACTGGTTGCTATGCACGGGAAATATCCCGATACATCGTAACATTATTATAAAACTCGATTTCAGAGATGGGAAATATCGGTCCACTCCTTCTGTGTCCTTCTTCATAAAATGTAAAATTTTTTACAGGAAATATTTTACTTCATAGGACAAGAAAGGACCATCATCATTTGCTTAGACTTTGCAAATCCTCATATTTGTATCTGTGCTGGGCCAGGTGCGAAAATGGGCAATATAAACCCAGTCCTTCTAGTATCTCCCTTACAAAAGGGTCACAATTTTCCCAGCGCTTATAAAATATGAAGACAGAGGCCAAATGTCTTAAAATTCCGCACGTCCCAATATTTCTAACACATTTTGGTCGAATACTTATATCTGTCATAAACGTGAAATAAGTATCCCATTCTTTTCAAATTTCACACATATTTTTAATAACGTAAGATCTGGTGTGAGGGTGGGATATATCGGTCCACTACTTATGGTATTTCCCCCCGAGAAAGTGGTCAAAATTTTGAATAAAAAAACGCTAATGAAATCCAAATAAATATTAGATTCTTTTCAATTTTCACATATCCCAATATTTTTTTCCTAGGAGGATCTAGTATGAAGATGATAGATATCGAGTCACCCCTACTGGTACCTCCTCCGCAAAGGGTTACAATTTTTTATATTTATATCGTTCATTATTTGCGAAACAAGCCAGTGATTTTTTTTTCAAACGTGGTATATCTAAATATTTATCCCAACCAGAGACCTGATGGATGGGATGGGACCTGATGGGATGGTATGGACACCAAATATCCAAATCTGGCAGGTTGTAATATTTATATCAGACTTATGTCAGATACAATATGGACAATATTATATATTTATTTAATGTCATTAGTTGTGCTGCTTGTGGCAAATCCAATAAATTCAAAACTTATCAAAAAATTGTAGAATAAACTTGAAAATTGTAAAAAAAATTGAAGAATATAATCCTGTAAGATGTATTAAAAACAGCTAATTTCTGTTCAAAACAATATGTCTCTTCCTATCGTTTTTATACCCTCTACCATTCTATGGAGGGTATATTAACATTGTGATTTCGTTTGTAGCTCCTCGAAATATTCATGACAGACCCTACAAAGTATATATATTCTAGTTCGATTTAGCGATGTTCGTCTGTCTGTCTATCTGTCGTAATCACGCTATCTTTCGAACGAATTGAGATTGAGGGCTAAACTTTTGCATACATGTCTATTTTGCTAGTAGGCAGGTTGTGTTCGTAAATTTAGGCCTATGCATAAAAATTTCGTATGCCCCCATTTCTTATAACACCCATATAACGATACCTCCCTTTATTCGGTATTTTGATCATTTTATCGACATTATTCGCCGGAATGGTTTCAAATTTCGTATTTGCAGTTCGTAATGTGTACTACAGCCTATGACAAACAATTACTTATGCAGGTCATCAATTAAACGGTATTTTTCGGAATTTGTTGAAATTTTTCAAGTTCCCTCCAAATAGCAGAGGGCATTAAAAGTTCGGCCCAGCTGAACTTAGCGCTTTTTTGTATTTGTTAGCTACAAAATCCAAAAATAAAATGGGAATAAATTTGGTGCATGTCACTGGCGTAAGAAGCATTTGTTCCATATATTTTGTTCAGTCGACCAATTTTTCGAACGAATGAAAAAATAAAGTTACAAAAATCCTAAATTTTAAAATTCTATCTCTAAACATAAACTCGTTGTGTAAAATTAAGTACATATTATTAGAAATTTAAATTAAATTTAGGGTGTAAAATTATTTTTTTAAATAACAAATTCTTATGAGTATTTTAAACCTCCAAGAGAACATTTTTAACTTGGGTCAAGTTTAATTTGAAGGTTTTCGGCCATGAACATCAATTTGCATAGTTGTTTTCTTTTCAAAAGTAGTAAAAAAACATTCGTTACTAAAATACAAAATCTAATCGGGTTTCCGAAGTAGTATTAGATAAATATGAAAGAGAGAAAATTGAAAACATGATAACCTCGATGTCTTGCCTCTGTATTCTCCTCATACAATTTAGAGAAAATTTTTCTTAGAATATTTAGATTTTAAAAGATCCTGACCTTTTATTACTTTCATTATGACTCTTGGAAAAAAGGACGAAAAGGCATTGAAGGAATTCAGTTGAATAACAGATTTTTTTTACAAACCTCGTTATCAGAACTAAAGAACTTCTTAACATATATGTAAGGAATTTTATTTTTTTTTTTTGGTGCTAAATATAATCTTCTGAGAATGAAAGGCTTCCCACAGTGAATTTTTCACTTCCCAAACATACTGTAGCATTTCATTTTCCTTTCCGAGAGAATGAGCTCAAGTCTATACAAGTATTGATACACTTTTGTCGTCATTGCATTCTTGTTTCAAAATTTGTATTCTTAAAATATTATTTCGTTTTTTATATCATCACCTAAGGAGTATAGTTGGGAAATTTTGTTCGCATAATTCACATTATCGAGTAACCACTGTACCGACTTGGATATTATAAAATATTATGTCATTGAAGTGTAGAAGTAATGAAAAATTTAGCAAAAAAAAAAAAAAAGAGTAGAAAGAGAGACAGAAAGTTAGTTAGTGGTAGTTATGATTGTTATTACCTTTGTTTTTGTTTTTTTGTTTTGTAGCGAAGGAAGTATGATTAATTATAATACAAAAATACAATACATGAATACTATACATGTCTAAACAACAATGTTTATACATTTGTACCGACCAAAAGGAAACAATAATGAAATGAATTGTTAACGGCTACTTCGACAATAATGAAAGTAAAATGCAACGAAAATTAACCATTCAATGGTCCCAATGGATTTCTTATTGCCTGCCTTATGGGACAGTTAGTCAGTCGTCGGTGTGTTTCGTTTGATTGACGTTTCAATAACCCGTTCCCTCGTTACCCTTATTAATGTCCTTCTTGGCACGCCATATTGTAGTTTAAGTACACGATGATTGTGGCCCAATACCCAATAGGGAAAGTTAAATTGGAAATTGGCTGTCATGACCTACCGCAAATTGAAATGGGTATGAACTCGAAATAGAAAATACACTTTTATGGAGTGTTTAACCGTTATAAAGGTCTATGCAGGATTCTGTAAACCCCCTTCCAGCTTTTTATTATTAATTCATAGTTAGAAAAAAATCTCTTGAGTTTCTCTAAATGGATTGTTTCCCTGCTCCTCTGTAGAGACGACCTCCTGCTCCTCTGTAGAGACGACCTCCTGCTCCTCTGTAGAGACGACCTCCTGCTCCTCTGTAGAGACGACCTCCTGCTCCTCTGTAGAGATGACCTCCTGCTCCTCTGTAGAGACGACCTTCCAGCTCATCTATAGAGACGACCTTCCAGCTCGTCTATAGAGACGACCTTCCAGCTCGTCTATAGAGACGACCTTCCAGCTCGTCTATAGAGACGACCTTCCAGCTCGTCTATAGAGACGACCTTCCAGCTCGTCTATAGAGACGACCTTCCAGCTCGTCTAAAGAGACGACCTTCCAGCTCGTCTAAAGAGACGACCTTCCAGCTCGTCTATAGAGACGACCTTCCAGCTCGTCTATAGAGACGACCTTCCAGCTCGTCTATAGAGACGACCTTCCAGCTCGTCTATAGAGACGACCTTCCAGCTCGTCTATAGAGACGACCTTCCAGCTCGTCTATAGAGACGACCTTCCAGCTCGTCTAAAGAGACGACCTTCCAGCTCGTCTAAAGAGACGACCTTCCAGCTCGTCTATAGAGACGACCTTCCAGCTCGTCTATAGAGACGACCTTCCAGCTCGTCTATAAAGACGACCTTCCAGCTCGTCTATGGAGACGACCTTCCAGCTCGTCTATAAAGACGACCTTCCAGCTCGTCTATAAATACGACCTTCAAGTTCGTCTATAAAGACGACGACATTCAAGCTCGTCTACAATGACGACCTTCCAGCTCGTCTACAAAGACGACTTTCCAGCTCGTCTACAAAGACGACTTTCCAGCTTGTCTATAAAGACGACCTTCCAGCTCGTCTATAGAGACGACCTTCCAGCTCGTCTATAGAGACGACCTTCCAGGTCGTCTATAGAGACGACGTTCCAGGTCGTCTATAGAGACGACGTTCCAGCTCGTCTATAGAGACGACGTTCCAGCTTCCACGACCTTTATGCTCGTCTATGGAGACGACCTTTAAGCTCGTCTATGGAGACGACCTTTAAGCTCGTCTATGGAGACGACCTTTAAGCTCGTCTATGGAGACGACCTTTAAGCTCGTCTATGGAGACGACCTTTAAGCTCGTCTATGGAGACGACCTTTAAGCTCGTCTATGGAGACGACCTTTAAGCTCGTCTATGGAGACGACCTTTAAGCTCGTCTATGGAGACGACCTTTAAGCTCGTCTATGGAGACGACCTTTAAGCTCGTCTATGGAGACGACCTTTAAGCTCGTCTATGGAGACGACCTTTAAGCTCGTCTATGGAGACGACCTTTAAGCTCGTCTATGGAGACGACCTTTAAGCTCGTCTATGGATACGACATTTAAGCTCGTCTATAGAGACGACCTTCGAGCTCCTTGACTATAAAGATGACCTCTAGCTCGTCGTCTATTAAGACGACCTTTAAGCTTATCTCCCTTCAGATTGTCTGTGAGGACTCTTTTTCCCGTCTAGGCTATAAAAACTTCCGTCTATATTCCCTGCTTGTCAATAATCTGATTTATGCCTTCTTTGTTCATTGTTATAAATGTTTTAAGTATTTGAAAAATCACTTTTTATATTTACAGGTAAGCATGATATTATGACCCTCAAGTCGATTGGTGTTATGGGTAAGGAATTCAGTTTCATATTTTTCAACACTTATTCCTTTCGAAGCTTCCTTAAAATAGTATTTCATCAGATGAATGGAAACAAAATGTAAATATTATAGCTTTTATAAAATATTTTCAATAATTCATGTAATTCACCACAACAAATTGAAAAAAAAAAAATTAAAACATAGCACGAAGTCTATCAAAATTATTTGGCATCAATTTCAAAAGAAAAATTAATTACACAAAACCATACAGAATAAATACCAACAACACAAGACAATTACAAAAACCACACAATCGGCAGATTGTTCAACCACCAACAATAAACAAAAAAACTAATAACTAAAAACTAAATTTCTGAACCAACCGTCAGATAGACGAACAAACTAAACTAAAAACAACAAGAACCAACGAACGAACAAACAAACCAACGGTTAGAAATCCAAAGCAATATTCAATTGAAATATACAAAAACAACAAGAAAAAGGAACACAGTTTTGAAAAAAGTGATTGTTTAAAGTTTTGATACCGAAATCAAGATGACCGCCCGTACCACTGAACTCCTCCATGCAATCGAGTGATGCTATTGGGGCTCGACACCTGCAAAGAAAGAAAAAAGAAATAAAATTAGAGAAGTTTTAGTATTTTCTTCGCTTTTGGAAAAGACATAATGTAATTAAAAATAAGTTGGAATATTTTTTTTTTTAACAAAGAAAGGATAATATTTGCTGAAAAGGAATTACACTTTGAAATCACACGTTGTTCAATACAAAAATTTTAAGTAGATTCTTAAGATTTTTTTCTTATTTAATTTTGAAACAAAGCTGGATGTGTATTTTATAAAAATGTGATCTATTGCAGAAGATTTAAAAGAGAATCAGGATTTAACATTGTTTTTTATGTCATGAACTTTTCGAAAATATAGACACAACTGAATTAATGTCAGATTTCATTTTAGAGAACTGGCAAGTGCCCGCTACTTTGAAAGTCTATCTTAAAATGTTAGATTCCTTCCAACAGTTCGTGTTAGGCCTTTTTTAATAGTTAAGACTTCAGTAGAAGTCCTTAGAAAGACTTCAATTGAAGTCCTTAGAAGGGCTACAATCGAAGTCCTTAGAAGAGCTTCAATCGAAGACCTTAGAAGGGCTTCAATAAAATTTATCAAAAGTGCTTCAATAAAAGGCCTTGGAAGTGGCTTCAATCGAATTCCTTTAGAGAAATGGCTTCCAAAGACCACCTTAAAATTTTAGATTCCTTCCAACACATCATACTAAATTTTTAGGTTTTCAAGGCTTCAGTAGAAGTCTTGAGAAGGGTTATAATCAAAGTTCATAGAAGGGCTTCTGTAGAAATCCTTAGAAGGGCTATAATCAAAGTCCTAGAAGGGCTTCAATATAAGTCCTTCAAAAGAGCCTCAATAAAAGGCCTTGCAAGTAGCTTCAATCGAAGTCCTTAGAAGGTCTCCAAAGGTTCCATAAATATTTCAACGTATCCATATATAAACCATGGAAATAAAAATGGCCACAATGTCAAATTCCATCCCTTCACCCCATACTACATTTAGTACTATTCGTACATTTATAGTACGCATTTTCAAACCCACCTCCATACCTCAATTCCAGATACCAAGAAAGACCTAAGCATTTGAGGATTACAGCCCCATGCCTTTACCAAATTCTAAATTGAGTATCTCAAATCTCAAACACAGATACCATCATTAATCTAAATATCAAATTTCAGAATTTCATCTCAATCCCTTCACCCAATACCAAAGATAGTACCATCCAGTACTTTTCGTACGATTGTATTAGACATTTCCTAAACCACCTCCATATGTCCAGGCTACACATGAACAGCGGCCCTAATAACAAATTTCAGATTTCCAGCACAATACCAAATGGAACCAAATATAGTCCTTTTAGTACTTCTCGTGTATTTATATACTCATTTCAAAAACCATCTCTCCTTCATAAACCTACCACCCACGGGGACCTCTATACAAAATATCAAAATTAGAGCTCCATCCGTTCACCCTAAACCGAATTGTTCCAAATGTAGTACTATTTAGTGCAATTCGCATACTCAATTCCAAAACCATCTTCATATATCCAACTTACTTTCCAACCTCGATTCTCATACCAACTTTATGTTTATAGCTCTATCCTCCCACATAAAATCAAGTGGCACTATTTTAGAAGTTTAGTGCCATTTTAGAACTTTTCGTACCTTCATAGATCGAATTTCTATAAGCCCTTTGGTACATATCTCCTGCACTCCATCAGTGATTCTCATTGCAAGTTTAATTCTATTTCCAGCTTATTTCGTTTGTCCATTACAAAGAATTAATTTTTAGTACTTTAAAATGTACATTTAGTACTTTCCAAAAACCCAGCGAGATCACAGGCCTACGCACCAGGACTGATCCTTGGGATCCTCAGTCAGATATTCACTGCCCATTATTAAAAATAAAACCCATTTTTAAGTAGACTCTTCACATTTTTGTGCATTTCAAAAATGTGTTTGCCTTTTAGTACTGTTTTGGTACAAATACCCATACACTCTGTCTTTTTCCCACTCTTCATTACATGCTCATGCTAAATTTCAGAATTCTACAATTTTTACTTCACAAAATAACATTTTAAATTTCGTTATAATATTCAGCTCCTTTGAATTGTAATTTTACCATACTCGCTCTAACAGGTCCGTCCCCTACATGTGAAGTTTAAGGTTCCCAGCATTTAAACTACAAAATAATGACCTCAATTATAAACAGGTGTTTATAGGACCCCAATTTGCCATTACACATACGCACACATATTGAGATAATGCAATAAAATTATGGCAAAAATTTTCTTATCGCTATGCAATATTTCTTTATGGGACACAATAATGCCGTACATCATTAGGGACCATTAAAATTACACGCACACCACATACACATACAAACGCATTTTACAACAACACCGAATGTGCAAGAAAAACGCATTACATATTCGAAATTTGCCTCTTCCCAAATGGGGGCAATGTGGAAATGGAGGCAGCCTCACTCCCAGCTACAGCCGAAACATACAACCATGAATATAGACACCCGCATTCATATTAAAGTGGTCCAGATGTGGTGGTTGGTGGCGGTGGAGGTGATGGTTCAAGGTCGTCACATAATGATACGCGCTTCAATATTATTGGCAACAGTGCGCACCACAGATGAGAAAAAACGCGTATGCCATTTAATCAAACAAAAACAGGCAACTGTAAACGACCAACCAGCCAACCATCCAACCAAACATGCGAATCCGAATCTCCGAAATACAAATAACTACAATTATCAGCAGCAGCATTACCACCTCCCATCATCATCATCATTGCCATCATCACATTAGCCATGAGAGGGAGCTGATACTATTGCCGCTGTGTTCATTTGAAGTGTGAATACTGCAAGAGTAATTTCTTCCCTCGGAATATAGCGCCGCTTCCCCATGGCCCACTACAAACATTACAATCATCATTTTCATTAAATTTAATTGCAAAATGAAATTGATGTCAGTTTTTTGGTATTGTTAAGAACATCCTGATATGATTATTGGGTTTAGTTATAGACCCTTCTATAATCTACACTAAAAAGTATTGGTAACCGACTTTTTGGAAATGTTTGTTGTACCCTCAGCCATATCATCCAAGAGAATATTTTTTATTGATACGGCCAAAATGTACCTTATCGAAGTAATGGTATGAAATTCGTTATGACACATTTGCAATCGATGTCTGGTATGCACTATAACCCTCGAAGGACGCATTCGAAACTTAGATTTCTGTAATACAGATCGAGCTCGCTGATAGGCTACTTTGATCCAACCTGCCACGAACGGTCACCAGCAAATCACATAATTCAAAATGGATTTGCTTCAAACTTCGCTTAACTTATAATTTGTATTAGTCTTACATCTAGTGCAAGATTTGATGACTTTTGACTTTTTCCAAAAAAAAAAAAAAAAAAAAAAAAAAAAAAAAAAAAAAAAAAAACGATGTTCAATAATCATAGCTTTGACAAAAATCCAAATACTTCGCGATACATTTTTAATTTCGCGTATTTATCCGCCACATTAAAAAAATAAAAATTACAAATCAAATATGAACCGAACAGATTACAGGGTGAGATGAAAAAACTGCAATCAACTTCAGACTGCTGTCATTTCAAAGCCACTCGTCCGACAGCTGTTAAAATTATTCCAGTGACAGCTAATTTTATTGTTTATAAGCGTATAAAAGCATTTTGATGAGAATTTTTTAGAACAAAAGTTATTCGTGATGGAATTGAAGCGTGATAGTGTAATTTCTTTATATTTGGCTGGAAAACCACAAGTGGCTATCGTTAGACCACTCCAGCATTTATATGTGAATAAATTTTTGTGTCTTGTACCATCGCTCATAACCGTGATACATCAACATCAGCATCAGCAGAAATGGCTCGAAAAGTAAAGAAGCGACTTGATCGAAACCCGCGGCGTAGTGGCCAGAAAATGGCTCGTGAGCTGAACACATCGCAATATTCCATTCGGCAAAAAATTGTAAAATGGGCTCGGGTTAAAGCCTTTGAAATTCCAAAAAGTGCAAGAACATACACCGCAACAGAAAGAAAATAGACTCAAAAGAGCTAAAGAGTTGAAAGTGGTGGCCGAAATTGGTGAACTATCGAATTTAGTTTTCTCCGATGTGAAAACATTCGTTGTCCAGCAGATTGTAAACAAACAAAATGATCGTGTTTACTTGCCAGAGGGGTCAGCTGTAAATGTGCACCTCCGGTTAGCCACCAGAACTCAAGCGGCGGTCATGCTGATGGCGTGGGCCGGCATAACAGCCGATGGTCGCCCCCCGCTCATGTTAATCGACCGTGGCTTCAGAATAAATGCCGAATATTATTGCGAAAATATTCTAGAGGGTGTATTAAAGTCTTGGGCACGCAAACATTTTGGCCGCAGACCTTGGACATTCCAACAGGACTCAGCGCCATCGCACTTAGCACGCGCCACCCAAGAATGGTTACAAAATTAGGTTCCTCGCTTCATCTCAGCGCAGCGGATACCAATCCGTTGGTCTATTGTGTCTGGAGTATTTTTGGGAAAGCAAGGTTAGCACTAAACAATACCAAGTTGTCGATCACCTCAAGCAAGCGCCTCCCCGGGAATTGGCCAAAATACCGCAGAGCTACATTCGGGCAGCGTGTGACGGTTTCATTGGCCGTTTGAAGGCTATAATTCGTGCAAAGGTGACCAATTCGAACAAATCTAAGCGTATTCTAAAATTTGATGCTATTTCGAACATTTTTTGCTTTCATTCAATAAATTTAAAAAATATGTAAAAATTGTGGTGTTTAACTTCGTTGCAGTTTTTTTATCTCACCCTGTATATTCACTTAATACCGAATTTAGTAACATTTACTTCTTTTCAAATATTCATATCTCAATTTCAGATATCAACAGTTACATAAATATTAAATTTCAGAATTGCATCTCTTTCCCTTCAATCAAGATCAAATTTAGTACTTTTCGAACAACTATAGCACACATTTCCAAAACTACTACTACTGGCACCAACAATGACAT